AAATAATATATTATATTATTATGAGCAAACTTTGCCAATGACAAAAGAGTTGTCCAATAATCTTAATAGTAGTTGATAGTATACTTCAAATATTACTCAAAAAATTTAATTCATTCACTCTATTTGTCCATCAATTTTGAAGATAAAAAGCCAAAGATAGTTTTATGTCCATCTTTAAAATTTTAAGAAGAATTCTCTAAATTCTTTATAGAAATTAAGTTTCTATATCTAATATAATATTCCTTGAAAATCCATGATAGCAATAAATATTATGAAGAAAAAATTTAGCTATTTCTTCACATGTAATAGATTTTTTATAAGATAAAAAAATGTATTGTCTTAGTAAAATAATCCATTATTATAAATATAGAATCATAAGAACTTGAGATTGGAAGATTTGTGATAAAATCCAGAAACAAAAGACCATAATTGTTTTAGAATATGTAATGACTTAAAAAATCCATAAGATTGATGACAAAGATTTTTTTATCTTGAACAAATGATACATGATTTTATAAAGTCTTTAATTGCCTTCTATATTTGAAGCCACCAAAAATCTTTAGATATTAGCTCCAAAGCTTTGTTGTATCCAAAATATCTAACTATTAGAAAGTTGTGATGAGCTTGAAGAATCATAATTATACTTCACCTTCTGAAAAATATAAGTGACATTTAAAATAGAATAGATTGTTCTTAAATTCAAATTTTGGAAGTATCATGAGTCTTAGAAGAATTATTTTTAATATCATAAATAAGAAGATTAGAAGATATACTTGACTAAATTTACTTGAAAAAAGTTGAATCAATAGTCAATGTTAATTTCATCACTCAAAGAAGAAAATGCTTTGGTTTTAAGAAAATTATAATTTATTGATTAAAAGCTATATCTCTTTTTTTTGATACAAGATAAGAACGTCTAAAAAGGATGTCTGATAAATTTTTTTACTTTTCTAATCTATAATTGATATTAAAATTAAACCTTGATGAAGACAAGTTCCAATAGACTTTGCAATAATTTAAAATATGTAGTGATATAAAATATTTGAAGTTCTTGTAATGTGTATATACAATGAGTAGATTAAAAGCGCTTTCTAGATAATAGTAGTATTTTTAAAATAAATTCAAAATTATAAAAATTCTTTATTGTAAATTTTATAATTAATCTTATTTACTAAATATTTATGAAATTGAAAGCTATTAGATGGAATTTTTTATTTTTTCTTATTTGTAAGAATACTTCTCTTAAAACAAAGTTTGATGCATTTATTTCTAAGAAAAATGTCTTAAACAAGTCAATATAATACAAGATTGGTGAAAAAAATAAAAGTTATCTTAAAGCTTTAAAAGATGTTTTAGCTTCTTTGCTCCATTTAATTTTGTCTTTACATGTCAAACATATAAAAAGAGTTGCAACTTGAAAAACATTTAAATAAAAATCCAATAATAATTGACAAATCTCAAGAAATATTGGATATTTTTTATTATTTTTAGAACCTTCAAATCTATGATAGTTTGAAACTTCTTAGGATTTATCATAAGGTCATTATTTGAAATGATGTATCCTAAAAAGTCAACTTGAGTAGTATAAAATACATACTTTTCTATCTTGGCATATAGTCATGCATCTCTAAGTTTTTTTAACATACGACAAACATGAGGTTCATATTGTTTTATATTCTTAGAATAAATTAGAATATCATTTAGATAATAGATTACAAAATCATCAATATATATATATATCATTTATTAGATGTTAAAAAGTAACTAGTGCATTTATGAGTCTAAAAGATATGATATTATATTTAAAATATCCATACTTGATTCAAAATACTATCTTCAATTTATCTCTTTATTTGATGCATATTAAATTAGATGCTCTTTGTAGATTTATTTTTAAACAAATCTTTATTTGATTCAATTAATCAAAAAGTTCTAAAATCAAAGATAAAAGATATCTATTCTTGATAGTGATCTTGTTGAGTCATTGATAGTCTACAAACATCTACGATGATCTATCTTTCTTCTTCACAAATAAGATAGAAGCTCTTGTTGAAAATTTAGAATCACATATGAAGTTTGTAGGTAAATTCTTATCAATATATTTCTTGAATGTAGCCAAATTATTTTGCAATAAGCTATAAATTGGTTTAATTGGCATTTAAACTTGTTCTTAAAGATCAATTGAACAATCATACAAGCAATGCTCTAAAAGAATATTTACATTATTTTTCTCAAAAACATCTTAATAATTTTGGTACTCCATTGCAGTATGTATATTTTAAAAAGAAGATTGTATCTTGCAATTATGAATATTAAATCAAATGTAGTGATCATGCTCTTGAAAGTTAACTCCAGCACAATTCCATCACTCTCAAAAATTCTTTTTGCTCTAAAATTATCATAATATTTTTTTTATTATTCATCTTTTTGTTGTCTCGCCCAAACCTTTACTTTCAACTTTGTGTTGCCATATAATAATAAGTTCAGCAACCACCATAAATTACCATAAGAAACCTCAACCATTTATAAGTGCCAATAGCATGATAGGCTCAAAATCCTTGTAATTTAAAATTTATGGCTCTACCAGCTTAATGTACCATCCATTGATTTTGATCAACCACTTGCCTTTCTTATTGTAAATTACATCAACAATTATCTTCTTTGAATCAAATCATTGCATAGACTTTGTAGCAATTACCATTGCAAAAGAAGCCTTGAACATGTTTGATTAAAGTAGGATTGCAATGAGACAAAACAAAAATAGACAAAGTAGAATCAAAAAAATTATCTCTAGCAATACCTCCAATGCATTAAACAAGTTTTACCATCCTTGACTTACAATCCACACTATACTTGCCATTACCACTTTAGAACCTCTCACATAATTCTACCTCTCAAAAGCCCTCAAACAACAATTAAGGCCATCAAACTCAAATAGCACCATAGTTGGCACTAAAACAACACTATAATAGACATATAGATGGAGCATTATATTATGCAATTTGTTTTTTAAGAATAGCTATACAAACAAGGTAAGAAAAATAAGAAAAATAGTTTAGTAATAACAATTGGATTGCATCATCACCAAATTCACAAGCAAACCTTACAATGACCACATAAGTTACAAATCAAGCAAAGCCTTTTAAAGTTCAATACTTGATTTGATATGCTTGTGCACCTCAACAACTTAGACTCCTTCTTCACTAATTACTAGTCAATGACAACTTGGGCAATAGAGGTGCGTCTTAAACAAACAAGAACAACAAACAAAAAAATGATTGAATGATGATTGAAAGAGCAGCATCTATATATTTACTCCAAATTGAGTCTAAGAGGGGATGTTGGTAATATTCATCTATTGTGTATATATCTAGGATTAGGGTTCAGCAGCAATGCCATCATCCATTCAGTATTTTGGATTTCATCCATCTCAGATGTATGAACATATCTAGTTTACCTATCATCCAATTCACACCTATTTTAGGAGCAAAATACCTTTTATTTGATATAACAGATCAAGTTCAGTGCCAGAAAGCACATAGACTGAATGTTTACGGTGATTTCAAGTCGATGATAGAAGAGTGGAATGTTTTAAAATAGCATGCAGAATTGTTCTTGTGATTCAAGAGTCCAAAGCTGAAGCTCATATGAATCAACAAAATGTTTGGGAAGCTAAGAGCAAGTGCATCTCTTTGCTGTGTTTAAATGCCTTGAGGATGTCTGACTTAAGAGTTCAAACTCTGCTTTTCATGCAATATTAGATCATTTGACTTACAGTTGTGCAAGAGATTTGAACTGGGTTAGAAATGGGTACAAGACAGAAACAGATTGAAGGACCACAGAGGATCACATCCGTTGCAGCAGAGAAAATGCCAATTTGTTTTGTTTATTGATTCTTTTCTATTCTTTTCTTTTTTGATTAATTCTTCTATTTTTTTGTTTAATTATTTATTTAGTCATTATATGTAAGAGTTTCATAATTTTGCTAAAATTCTACAAGTCAATGTCAAATTATAGACTCACATGGGTGATGGTTTCTTCAAAATCTGTAGTTAGTTTTTGTTATCTTAATTAATTTTATAGATTGTTACTCTTATCAAATAATTTCTAAAAAATTACTACTATTATTAAATTCAAATTATATTATACTACTCTTGAAATTTTATTATTAAATGCATTATTCATTTACCATCTTTATTAAATAATAAGAAATTTATCTTTGTTTGTGTTAGATGATAAAAAATGATGTATAACGAGTTGACTTCGAAAAGTGTTTTTTTAATATCACAATTATTACTTTTAAAAAAAATTACAAGTTACAAGTTTTGATATTAGTAAAATTAAAGTTAAAATTTTGAATGAAATCTCTTTTATTTATTAATTTTTTTCTTGTTGCCAACAGTGTTCATTTAGTAAAATATTAAATTCTTATAAGAATTTATTACTTTAGATATAAATTGATGTTACCTTGTAGTTTTTATACTTGAATTTTGCATTGTTGAGGTAAAAATGCAAGTTGGACTCTAGAGGTTTAATTCCCAGTTGTAAAATCCCGACCATGCCTGATAGAAACTTGCTCAAGATTCTTCACCCCTACAATATAAAAATAGTAATAATAATAATAATAATAATAATTGAGCGTAGATTGATCTAATTATAAAATGAATACAAACTTCTCCCAGTTATCTTTAATGCCTACCATTAAAACATCTTCATTAATCTTATATTGTGTTATCATCACAATAAAGAGTATCAAACCAACAAAATTGCTGGGGAAAAAATCTCATAAAAATAGGAGAAAAATGTCATAGTACCAATATAAATGTACCAAAGGACACCACTCTCTAAAAAAGGAGAAACAAAAATAAAACGAAGTATGCAATAAATAGAAGCATAAGACGCTGGAAACGAAATTAGTCACTAACTGCGAGGAAGGATCTGCATGTGAAGAAGATGAAGCATGCAGACACTCCTGATGTACCGCAAGACGCCGCACCTGCTACTTCAACTGCTAAAATTGTCACGACTGCGTGTGCTCGCCCTGAATCAAACCATGAGCTCCGATTCATCACCGATCTGCACTCCATGTTCAATTCCAGTCGACTAGAGAAAATTCGATGAGTTTTGGGATGTTCAGCATTGCTGTGAGTTGACAAGAAAATGTGGATGCAGTGAGCTTGCAGTCTGCGAGTGCTGTGATAATCCACCATCACGACACCGTCGGCACGACGCACCCGCAAATATATTGCGATTGAGTTGGAGATGGAGATGGGGACGCGAGGTGGGTGGTCTTTTATTTGGTTTGAAATCATAAACGTGGGGTGAACTCAGCAGATATCGCGTTTAATAGGTGGCATAGGGAAGAATCCAGCATTCAGGTTCCACTTGAAAACCACCTACTTAGTCCTCGCCAGATTGCATTCGAGAGTTTCCTTGGTCCCTTCGATTCCTTCGAGGGAGAGGCTTCGGATTTGCTTCTCAAACCTGAACGTTTTCACGAAATTGGTCGAAGTTGTGACTTCCGTGCAGCTGCATGGTGGAATCTCCCACCTCGTGAATATGACGTGTGGTGTCACCGGGAAGAGATGGGCGGTTAAGCAGCCGTTATTGACGGGTATGCCAATGCTGGCGTAACGTTGACCTTTCAAGATTTGGAAAATGGTGGCAAACAACAGATTCATGAATGGAAATTGAAGCTGAATGCACGGTCAGGCTTCTGCAGGGCAATTGAATATGACATCTTGTTTCTCAATGATATAACCGAAGCTGAATGTCTGATGCCGGGGTGAGACGTTGAAGAAATCAATCGACTTGGTGTCGCACCTAATTCTGCAGTCAAGCTCTTGTTACTCTCGGGTTACTCCAAGAAATTATAGCACATATTTGATAACTTCCTGACGCCCATAGTATTCAAGATTTCTACTCATGTTACGGTGTAGAAAAGTTGAGAAGATATCTCCTACTCTAACGAAGACAATCGTAGCAAGACGACAGAAGCATGGGTGCGAGACACACCTTGTGGCTTCTGTTTTTCCTGGTTCTTTTCATCGCATTGCAGTTTGCGAAAGTCATTAGTGGGATCGATCTCAGTCCTTTCTGTGTAAAAGCCAATTCCAACTTTGGCACATGCCCCGAGGTCTCCTCATTCGACATTGTCGACATCGCAGCCTACGCGGGCTTGTGGCACCAAATAGGAAGCACGGCGCAGTACAAGCTCATGACCGAAGCAGGATCGAGCTGTCTCCAAGCGAATTACACAGTGCAACTATCGAATGATACGAATCAAGGCGCCTCGCTCACCGTTCTTTACAGTGGGATACGCACCCTGGATCCCGTTGCAACATTGGGGATAACCAGTGTCAGCTCTGCCTCGAGAGACGTGTGCATGAATGCCCGCGATGTGTGTTCGTTAATTGACACCTCGAGTAATTTCATGCAGTCCGTCACCGAGCTCCGGAAGATTGCATTCATGGTGAAAAAAGAGCTCCCTTACCAGACGGAGATTCTTGACTACGTCGCACAGCAGATTGAGGGTTGCGGATACAACATTTCCAAGGAGTTCACCATGTTGGCCGAGCATGTGCAAGCCATCCAGAAGTTCGATGGCAGCCTTAGCGAAGGCAATGGTACAGCGACAGCCATCGTCGAGCAAATGAGACTGGCCATGATCGCAATTGGCAAACACATCAATGTGTTTGTTGAATTCGTAAACGAGATAGCCACTGCTAGGAGCCTCCTCGACCAGGTGAGAAACTAATATCAGTCCTCAACTCGATTTTTTGCACGTATCTTGTGACCTTATCTTGAAGCGGTTGCATAACCTCCGCTTGTAATGTTTCCCTACGCCAACAAACGATCTCTTTTTCCTCGCAGGTGGTTGTGAACCTCATCATGGCAGGCGAGCTTGTGACCTCAGTAGACGTGACGGAAGCATCTACCCTAATTGGATCTGTAGAGCAGAGCATCGCACTTCATGCAGAGCGAATGAAAACGAGCATCTCAGTCATGAGCGCTGCTTTGGAGGTCATTCTTGCAGACTCAGGCAAGCCCTTCCATCCTGTTTCATGGAGCACCCCTGCTATTGCCACCCAAAATGCCACTGCGAAAGGCAGATTGGAAATATATAATCAGGGGTTGGACGCCCCGTATTGGATTATCGCTCTCGAAGGATTACCAAGTAAAGGCTACGATGCAGTGCTGGTGTATTCGTGCACAGAAAACCCTTTACTTAATACAATCCAGCAAAAGTTCTTAGTTCTCTCCCGAGAGACCAGTCTCATCCCCGCGATTCTGAATCGATTCTTGAATGTGATGGCTTCTATTGGAATCAACCTAGATTGTGAGAATCTCTTTCTCACATCCGGTTGCAACTCTTACCCCCTTGCTGAGACACCCGTATGAATGTGACATTGCTTAAGCTCTAAGCTGCATGCGAAGGTCAACACCAATTTGAACGAGAATATGAAAGTATCTTGAAGCATTTGGTTTTAATACACTATAAAGCTCTCAATTGAAGAATGGGTGCATTAGCGAAGAACTTCATAAATGCACCCTCAAAGCTTCATTTCAATTCAGGAATATGTTGCTAGGTCTACAGGTAGATCTTTGTCTACCTCAAAGCCAGCTACTAATACATGATTTTGCGCATTTTGACACTTAGTTGCAATATTTACTGTTCATCTTGTCTACTTTCGGCTACAATTTGTCGCTATGGTATCTGCTTCTTCCAACTGGTAACCCGCTGGGGTTTTGCATGAGCCTTGTAAAAGTCTGAGCAACTTCGTTCCGCAACGGATACGAGTAACTATTTGGGGGTACGTCATCAGAATAATTTCCTCCATGCCCTAAAAGAAATGTGCTTTGACTTTAACAGGCAAGTTTATTTCCTGGGGAACCCGCGAACTTATCTTTTATTAACCACACTTTTGGTTTTGGTGGGTTGGGAAGAACGCGTGAACAACCCTCTTGACCGTGACCAGTTTATGATCTCGCGCATGCTACTTCAGTGTTTTCCCAGGTCAAAACAGTAGCTGCATCGGCTGAAATCCCATTCGATTGAACGATTGTGTCTGTAGATCACGAGATACCTAACAAACATACTCTGCCAGCTGACAGTGGGTACAATGTCTTTCTTTTTGCGTTTTGTCTAACTACAAGTTTCATTTTGAGATTTTGCTGGATGACCCAGTTTGGGAAATGACCCTGGCTCAATGTTTAAAGTCTTAGTTACATGTTTCACCCATCTGTTCTATGAGAAAGATTTGAATGCTGGGTTGCTGTTTCTCCAGCAGAAAGAGAGAGGAATGTGGGCCTGGGTGAGAGTTTGAACATCAAAGAGTAGATTTCAAGATACTGACACGGTATCGTTTCTCCGTTTTTATTAGTTTTATTGCATTAGTTCCTGTTTCAGAAACACCTCTCGAATTATTGTCTGCGCGTGTCCTTAATGATGACAAGTCACACTTTGTTTGGAGAGAAAGACAGTAGGTTAATGATCGGGTTGCTTCTGTCACTAGCTTCAAGCTTTCGACCGACGTTTCCAGCGGGCGAATCGTGTGTCAGGGTTGCGACTTGTGTTGTGCCGTCACAGCGATTGTAGATATCAAATTTGACCAGTTGCTACTTCATATCTGGAGCTCTTTCCGGTTTGATTGAATTTCAACAGACCTCCTCCGCTTCGAGATTACTCTAGCGCTGTACCACTTGGCTTTGTCTGTAAACCTAGAGATTACAAATGCTTCCTTTTTTCATTGTTTCCCTTCTAATCTTCCTCATCGTGACGGTCGTCATAGTTCCTGGAGTGATGGAACAGAGCCAAGAGGTCGTGGACGAGGTAGTGGGCATGTGGCAGACTCCCTCACTGTTCACCGGCCTGGTTGCCTTGCTGCTCCTCCTTGTCTGCGTCCCTGGCGGTCCGTTAGCACCCGTCATCAACTCCCTCAGAAACATGTGAATCCCACTGTCTGGTATGCTCTTCCTTCCAGCTATACATGTTGATGTTTGAAGCAAAGGATTTAGAGTTGCCTCCCACCGCATCGTTTTCATCTCTTGTTTACTGGAAGCTGCTAACTTCGCATTTGGAAATGTGTAGAAATTAACTTTGGGTTTGAAGTCGGTTTCCTGAACTTGAAAATCTTGTGAAGAGAATCTTGCTGCTCCAACGGCTATTTCCGCATTGATTCAATGTAAACCATGGTGTAAGGTTGGGAAATTTGTCCAATTTTAGTTTTTGGCGACAGTCACATCTCGTGTATTTTTGAACAAGCGTAACCACTTCCTTGACTGTAATACTGTGCACAGTATCTAAATGTCCAAACGACTCTCTAAACGACGACGTTTGTGGGTGTGACAGGCTACAGTTACAGGAAGCTCGTCTAGTAATTGGGAAAGTTGGATATGAAGAAATCATGCGTATATTAACTAGAGTAAGGTAGTTAGAAATGTGAAGAGGTTGAGATTTTTCAGTAGTTGCATTACCTTTACATTTTGTTCGGTCTTTCTTGTGCCAAATGTCATTTAGGTATTTCCTTCACATTACATGTGAATGATGGAGAAGATTATCCGAGTGTTAAAATCCACTATCGGTACTGGCATTATTTGACAAATTTTGGGTTATGATTTTGCATATGAGAGATTGTCACAATGTATGTTAGAGATATTTGAGGTAAAAGATCCGAAGAGGCGAAATTTATGTGCAATTTTTCTACTTTCATATTTAATTCTTTACAGAGGAGAATAATTGTACATATGCAACATAACTTGCATTCGGCACAGAAAAGCGGCTACGATTCGCATGATGATAATTATTTTACGCATGATAAAGTAAAGAAAAATTTAGAATAGAGAAGTATCTGGATAGTTTCGGTCAACGAGTTGAAAGATGGTTCATTTCAAATTGCTGAAATTTGAAGCCACGTTACATCGATAGATTCCAAATTACTATCCGCTAGTTCTGTCCTATTGGAAAATTGTCCATTTACCATTACTCTCGTAGAAACGTACGTTGATTGGGATCATTGTGCAAAATTTTAATTAGACAAGGGTGTCATCAACCATCGAGGGAGGGAGGAGTCCGATAATTAAAAAGACACTCATCTGCTTCGACGTCATTTACACTCATGATTTTCTATAGAGAACTAGTACAGTGGTGATATTCACTACAAGATACGATCCGACTGCGAAGGGAGTCTCTTGAAAAAACTCAGAGGCACCGAGGGAAGAGGGTCTCTGAATCTAGGGTGTCGTAGCATGTAGGCAGCAAGCAGCACAGCCACCACTTGGAACGGTGTCACGTAAAGGACAATAGCAGCCACGAGACAGAATGCAATGAATAATGCAGTTGCCCTACACCAACAATTATATTCTGTCAACCATTTATTACCACACACCTATAAAAGAAAAGTGTACTAAGCACAAGATATGAGATTTCAGAAGAATAGTAGCACAATATTTCACGTACCTGGGATCCCGCCAAATCAGTAGAGATTGGAACCTCTCACCCATACTGGCCAGTGAACCAAGTCCATTCTGAATACGTCCTGCTACGCCGCGCAAACGCTCATATCTATGCTTCAGAACCTCCTGAGCTCTGTTCGCAGGGACAATATTAAATTCTTCTTCCAGCTCGTCCAAATGTCCAATGAACTCTCCTTGTGAAAGCTTGGCATCCATGAAGGGCGGCGTCCGTGACCGAAAACGATAATTCCACGCCCCCACCAGGAACATGTATAGGAAGACTGTGGGGAGGAGAAGCTCTGGATACCAAACGAGGATCAGAAACAGAATGTGAACTAGTACGGTGGTGATGGGACTCTTCCAATTACAGATGTCGGTGAACCAATTCATAACAGCCAGAAAACCACCCAGCACTCCCTGTAGCAAAAAGAGGAGAGAACTGTTAGTGTCAGTAAGATTATCTCAGGATGGAGCTGCTTCTGGGGATTAGTACAAACGTAACGCACAAGATGCATTCGATAGACGACTACTCAGTACCATGATTCGGTAGTAGTTAGCTTTGCTGCGACGCATGCTCCACCGCTCAGCCTCGGTGTCCAACATGAACAGTACAACCTCCTGTCTCAGAGGAAACTCCGACCTCATCAGCCTCAACGCCACCATGTTCATAGCAGCCACTCGAAGCATGTGCGTTTGTCTTGGGTCGAGGGGGTAGAAGAAGTGCATCCTTGGTAACTGGGGCTGAAGGTAAGAAGCTATTACATTTGCAGTGGAAGCGGTAGAAAATCTCACCGCCATCTCCAATTCACCCATTTTCTTCACCCCCTGAGGCGTGACCACCAGTAGAGGATATGCATTCGTGTACACTCGATCACTCTCCAGAGTTGAGAGTCTGATGCGAACTTTCCCAATTGGTAAATCCTTCAGTGTCTCACCGCCAGTGAGAGTGTTCCTGCATGCCGGTACATGAGCAAAATCCCAAAAATAATACCAGCAGGGTTCTGACTCCGCTTACCCTTGCAAATGAAGCAAGGAAAGCAGTTTATATAAATAAACTTACCGATTGTCGAACACACCTACTGTAACAACTGTACAGGGATCGAAAACCTCCCAAGTGTACTGCTCATTCCAACGAGGATTGAAACTCTCGAAGATGGTGCGAGTGCGAACCCACTTAGGTCCGTACTTGACCACACAGTATGCATCAGTGCTTCCTCGATTATCTTTTGTGGTCTTCATAGGAAGGAGATTATTAGCACAATGTATACCCACTTCTAGAACACCTAAAGACGGTTTCCACAACTGCCTTGCAGTAGGTCGTGTATCGCTGATGTAGTTTGACGACTCGTCCACAACATGGTAGCCGCCTTCAAAACAGAGACGAAGATGAATCCGACCCAGAAAAGCTCCCCTACCACCATCTCTTTCCAAGACATACCACCTGGACGCTACGGGACGTCCATCAATGCGGCGTGCTATGCTCATCAGGGGTATTCGTATATGTCCAATGATTTCCTCCTGCGAACAATCAAAGCGTAACAAAACAAATTAAAACTAAGTTTGAGAAAAGCTGTCATGACACAGTGCGGTTGTGAAGTCGTTGCTCGACCACTGCTGGGAAACCAACTGAAGGCACAAAGTAGTCTTGGCAAAGAAAGTCCACACCTTCCCAGGAGCAATTCTGTCTTCAACGATGATGTGCATCACCTCATCAAATGGCTCTGCAGCAACAAACAACAGATCTTCATTCCAGAAGGGGCTGCCACCTCGTGTTACAGAACGTGATGTTCGTAGGGTCTGGTACGGTCCAACGTGCAACCTTACATACTGCAGAATAACACCCCTTCAAATGAGCCGCAGACTGAGAGTGGCACTGTGAAAACTCCACTCCAAGATTAAAATGTCATGCACTCCATCACTCTCATGGAACAGAGAAAATATACAACTCCAATAAAAACTGATCAGGAGATAGTAAATAGTGATCATATTGTACCGGCTCCGCCATGTGCCTGTCAGTCGGCAACAAATCCTGAGCTTCAATGACATTCACTCGCAGATACCAGAGCTTGGGTGACATGTAAAGCTTTGATCTGAACTGTGAGCTTTCACCAGTGTCCGAGTGCCATGCTTCAGGAAAGACTTCATCAGCCTGGGTACCCCACCAAATTGAGACCATTAAATCCCCTGCCATGGTCACTGCAACTTATCAGGGATATTCATGCAGAACATTACTTCTGCGATTCAGCGGTAGACAGAGGGCGATGTTAGCAAGTTCCATTGTCGAGCAGCAAGGAAAATGGAGTACACATATCTGAAACGCACCAGCATATAAAAATTTAAATAAATAAATCAAACCATTAAAACCAGGGAAATGAACCGTCGTGAGATATAGCACTCAATTGGTTGTAGGGGAATACCACTAATCGCCTTGTTGCCAGTTTTTGACTCTAGCCTATACCACTGGGGGGCCAGTGGGCTTTCTGGAGGTTTCCGAGAGGGAACTCCGTGTAGATCAATCATAAAACCTCCAAGAAAAGTATCTTTTGAAATCTTACCCTACACAATGCGAAACATATCAGTCAATAACCAAATTACACGCACAAATATAGGACAGCGAGGAGGGAAGGTGGTTCGAAGCATCCAGCTTACCGCATCCCATACGGAAAGCTCACATGTTCCACCCTGAATTTTGTCCTTTCCAATTGCGAAACATCGGTTCCACTCCGGATTATGAGTACAAGGGATGAACTTCGTCTCCGTCTTCACAGGACCCACAGATATCTTCACGTACTGGTTGACATCACCAATTCATGTTGCATCAGTCTTACAAATCGCTGCATACTGATACTAGTCCACACTTGACGTCTAGAAGGGCAACCAAGTGAGACATTGAAGTTTGTTCCGATATTGATTCAGAGAAAAACTTACAGGATCACTCAGAGTATTGTTATCCTTTCCCGACAGATTCCGTGCCCTGACGACACGAATGAACAGGTAAGACATCTCCTCCACGAGATCATGGTGTTGTCTGTAATCCACAGCATTTCCTAAATTAGGATGGGTTTCCTTTACAGTGAAATCAGCTTCTGGCACGGTGATTGTGCTAGGCCTAGGACCTTCTGACACCCTATCCGCTTTCGCTTCCTTGTTTAACTTTCCTGCCCCGACAACGAGGACATCACCATTAGGGACACCTCCACCTGCGACAATTGCCGGTTCTCCTTGGATATCTCTGGCGTTCTTACCGCCTTTCTGTGCTGTCTCCAAATTCTGCAACCAGACTTTTATCCTGGAATGAAAATCAACAGCCAATGCGTCAGTACAGATACAGTGTGAAGAACACTTCATCAAAAACCAACAAGTTGACAGAACCAAAAAGCTTGTGCGATGAAGGGAAAGTGTAGTTCACCCCAAGTCGCCTTTGACGTGCGAGAAGAGGCCGCGTTTCTGTAACTGATACCATCGGACTGCCTCGGGTTTAGAAGGAACAGTGTTCATGGGAACTACCACGCGACCCATGAAGCAACTCCTTCGGCCTGTCCCACTCTTGTTCTCATTCTGAACGTTAATTTCTAAGTAACCTTGCATCCTCATTGCAGGCATTGTGAACTCGAACTACACACACCAGGACTCATGTCAACGAACTCAATTACAAAAGGAAGTGCACTTAAAAACAACCACAATGCACGTAATTCAATAGACATCGGCACAAGACTCTCAACGATGCTCAGAGCAATGAAAATTGGGGGTGATCTAGAAACCAAACCCAGAGTCTATCTGGGGAGAAATTGTCACACCTTCTGGTTCCATGTAGGATCAAGGTCTTTGAACTTTACCCTCGTCCTCTTGCGCTGACCGTCATAATCCAGCTGAACGAATTGACACTCATCAGCATTAGAACTACATATTGAAATGACCTATACTTCACCATGCCAACGTCAAATTCCAGGTGGATTGTAACCCGAGCACGGCAAACAACTTCAAAACATGCGACGGAGTCTCCACCTCCGGTGATTATGCTTTCTCAGCTACTAGTTCACAGGCAACCACTCACATCTACGATCACACTATCATCTGTTAGCAATCTGTGGAAGGTCTAATCCATCCTCACTGCCGGAAACTCGATTGAGTGACCGAGATAGAGTACTAAGTGACGCACCACGCAATACGCATTCGCTGACCCTTCTCCATCCTTGGGCATCAGACCTTTAGCGGCAATCACCTCCACCATGAGCTTCCGGCCACCAGCCATGGCTAGTTCCAATTTAGCCTCCAGAAACAAAATCCCAAAAGCGTCTCACAGAGTACCAAGAGTCCACACCAATTGCACCTGATAATATCAATTAAACAGTCTACTGAAAGCCCATAATGCAGAGCAATTTTTAACAATGTAAGATGTCCTCGTATCACAATTTCGCTATCCCACTCAAGAGCAAACTAAAACAATCCACCAACTCTCAGAGCTGTCGTCCCATGCACTAAATATTCGCTTCAAGAATCACGAACTCCTACAACAGCTCCGTCATCTCTTCCGCAGGCATCTCGTGGACTGACTGCATATCCCCCATGAAACCGCGGTAGGTCCTACGCTCTCACCCTAGCATAGGACGCCTTTCCAAGTGATCACTCAAATTCAGCACAATTAGAGTCGTCTCAAACACATGTACTCCTTTTCCCCCTCTCTCCGCCTACAGTCATCACCTCAGTTACTCTATGGCGGAGGCATCCGAAGCGGTAATGGTTCGAATCCTGTCAGAATGCATACAATGGCTAAATATATAACGCCCCGGCCTACAGTGCTGTATCAGATGGCAGGCAGCCCCAAATATCCCACAAATTCATCAATTCAGTGTATCTCTGTCGGTTTCCTCGTCACGAGTGAAAATTCAAACGATGATCACGGCGCAGAATATCTACAAGTTATATCAGCTTTCTTCTTGCAGAATCCTACATACAGACCCTGCAGCAGGTGTAAGCTGTACATAGAATTGGCAGCAAACAAAGTGCAAGAACGGATTCCTTACTACCCAGGCCAACGACCTTTGTTGTCCGTGAACATGGAAGACTGAGTAGTTTATGGGTTTGGTAGAGTGCGTCAGAAGCGAATCGGCGGCATGGATTCACTGAAGCGTGGGAAAACCTCCAGCCCAGCCCCTGTCTCGCTTCATGACTACGCCTCCGGTCCATTAATACGGACCCCCGCAGCCGTCGCAGCGATTATATTGTATCAATATTGCAATAAGGATGTCGACTGGCGTTTATGGAGCCTGCTCAATCGCTCGTTGTAACCGGAGTGATGGCGATCTTCCAATCAAGGTGCTGATCACCGTACTCTCTTTCCTCTTGGATGGTTAATTACAGAGATTTGAATCACGAAACGCTGGTGTTTAGCGCAACTACAGAACGTCGTAAGTATGGGATTTAACTGTTGGATGTCACAAAGAGAGACTTTTGAATGTTGCTCCAACTCCACTTGAATCCCAGATCGCATGGGTTGTGATGAAGGTTGCCGTTGTCAGTGAAGGTGGTGATTACTGCTGACTAATAAGTCCCCTCGCCAGAATTTGAAAGCTGACGCATGAAGGGCTGAAGCAAAATAGGGTTAAAAAATAGTTACTCGCCATGCAACCATGAACCTTGTGTACCGTAAGAAAGGGCTTCAGAGCAAATGAGCTGAAGACATCGCTTCCGACTCAGTCAGTTTCATTAGCTCAGTGTACGAGTACATGAAGGACAGGTGTTACTCCAGGTTGCTGGGTCTAATCAGGTAGCCTTAAACTTCATGGCCGTGAATATCTAAACCCAGTAGACACATTGATTCGGTGATAGCGGGACAGCCTCCTACCGATTTCCCTCAACCTTCTTCAGTGTTGGTGGAAACTCTTGTCCAGTGAAGTAGATCGGCTTCGATCGCAAATTGTGTTAGTCAAGGTAGGGACAGCAACGAAGCAGGGGGCGAGAAGAAATGAGAAGAGACGAGAGGCTGATGGAAAGCGGTGGGACCCGCGCAATTCGTCCGGCTGCGGGAGACGATAAAAAAACCCAAAAAAAAAAGGAGGGAGGCATGGCAAGCTTCGAGGCTGGAGACAACAGTTGACTGTGTAATAACCGACAACAGACGAAGAACAGATCTCCAAGTGAGCGATGGCATTATTTGGGCGTAGAAAATATGGGAGGGCCCTCAGTCTCTAGTTGGCGGTAAATTCTCTCCTTGCTTGTGAAACAAGGTTCCTCATTAATAGCTCAGGTGAGCGCTTTTCAGGCAGCCGCATTGTTGGAACAAGGCTTCCTCCCGTCAAACACGCGGCTCTCATAGTGGTTCCCCGAATCCCCCAGAACAGTGACTCCACTTGTGACGCTGCCCCACGGCCGGGACCCGAATCCTGTTGCCGCAATTACTCGTGCAACTTGGCCACGTCACTAGTGGGCGATTGTCTGCGTTGGGAAGGCTCGGTCTTGTTTGTTACACAGGAGAAATCATTGGGTTGTCAAGCTCAAGGCTAGTCTGTATCCTCCATCTTAGAAATCGACAGGCGGGGGCTGCACGCAGAATTCTTTCGGGGCCAACGATCATGGCAGCGGTTGCAGATGAGTGGCGTGGTGTCTCTAGTGGTTTGGTCTAATGGTACAAGCGCTAGGAAGAGATAAGAAATGGGATAATTGAGAGGGCGTTGATTGATGTGTGAACCGAGGTTCGTTGACTCGGTCGATGGGGTTCACTGCAGGTTAGAGAGTTCGAGATATTGTGAAAACGATGGTGAGCTTGGTGTTGCGGTTAGTCTAGAACGAGAGCTAGAGGATCTTGGTTTGAAGAGAGTATTCGCGTCGGTGGCTGGTGGTGGAAGTTGGTGGTAGCCATGGCGCGCAAGCTCATCGTGGAGGTTGTTGCTGCCAAGGCGCTAATGCCCAAGGATGGTCAAGGCTCCACGAATGCGTACTGTGTGGTATGTTCATGGAGCTGCTCTTGAATTTCAAGATGTAGTTGTGTACGAACTGTGTATTGTGTTGGCGTAGTGGCAACTAGGATTATGCGGTGGTTGATTTGGTTATACAGTTGACCTTGGCTGAAGAGGCTACTCTCTTCATGTTGCTTGAGGATAGAATTTTTAGCTGGACCAGCGTAGATGAGCTTCATTTCAAGTAAACAGTAGGGTTTGCTCTGAAAATTTAATTAGTTGCGATCATTTTGTGGATGTGCAGTTGGATTATGATGGTCAGCGCAAGAGGACTAGGGTGAAGCCTAAAGACCTCGATCCAGTATGGAATGAAAAGGTATGGCGTACGGAAATGGTTCTTTCAGCGACTGATTTGCGCTCTCTATTGTCTGGATACGAGTTTTGCGATGTAAAGAAAATTCAATGTTGCAAGGATGGTATTAATTCTAGCCTCTCGGAGTGTACAGACTGTCTTTCTCCGTACATCTCTTAGACGTGTTGCAATTACTTGCAAAGATTCGTTTGTAAATTTTGACATGGGCTTGGCTGGGATTTAAGAATAGGAAAAGAAAAAAAAAAAAAAAAAAAAAGTGCACTTGCCGCGGGTTGAATGCCATTAAAGTTTCTTACTACGCAATTCCGCTCAATGTTCGATATCAGCGCAAAAAATTTAAGTGAATGATGCCTGAAATACTCGTAATACAGCCTAAATTCACTGGGCTATTGTTTGAGCGCAGTTTGAGTTCACGATTACGGATGTCGCAATGCCGGGAGATTTGGAGATAAACATCCAAAACGAAAGGAACAGTGGCACTGGCAGGCGAAGTAGTTTCTTGGGGAAGGTCACCGTGCCTGTTAGCATGGTTCCGAACAGACCTGAAGCTGTCAGATGGTTTCCCTTGCAGAAGCGAGGTCTCTTCTCACATATCAAAGGAGATTTGGGGTGAGTTTTAACAACCTTTTCTCCATTTAAGCTTGTCACCATAATTTTCTATCAGATGTCACATAGAGCTCTCCTTTCTCAGTCTCTTCTTGGACAGTCCTCAATGCTGCTTCTGTGCCTGCCCACAGGCTCAGGATTTGGTGGCAACCAACCGATTCGGTTACGAAATCCTATGAAGGAGATGGTGTCTACAGTGAAGGCCGCGTCAGACAAGATCCTTTCGAAGGTGGAGGAGTAAGGCCGAACAAAAATGTAGCCATGCCAGACAGGCAGCCAGATCCAAGGCCCAACTCAGTGACTGTCCCAGAAAACGATTTCTTCGTGAAGGAAACCAATCCTGACTTGGGGAAGGCCGTTGATCATAAACAGCACTTCGACCTTGTTGAGGGGATGATGTATCTGTTTGTGCGCGTGGTTAGGGCGCGGGGCCTCCTCGGAAAGGATACAACTGGACTGAGCGATCCTGTAAGTATGCTTGTGCATTTCAGTTTTCGCGACTGAATGGTAATGTTTTATTCTACATGAGAAGCAGGCAGTAACTATCGTGAATATTGTCAAGCACAAGTGATTTTCACTAATTGCTATTATTTTTCTAAAATAAATTAACTTAAGCTTTGTAATGTGTATTTCTGGTTTAGAATCACTGATGATATCGTGCCCTATGATTGGATCAGTACTGTAAGATTACCGTAGGGCCTGTGAAAACGGTGACCAGGGTCTTTAAGAGAAGCCTAAACCCCGAGTGGAATGAAGTTTTTGCGGTCGGCAGGGACAAAATTCAAGGCGGATCCCTTGAGGTTTCAGTATGGGATGAAGTGAGTCAACGCTCCTCCTAGTTGTTTCTGGTTTTTAAGCCTGTTCTAAGTGTGTTCAAGAAAAATGCGCATTGACACACCAGTAGTGGATGTTCAGGACAAGCTTACTGGGGATGACTTCCTTGGAGGTTTCATGGTGGACTTGCACGGCGTTCCCTTGAGGAAGCCTCCGGAGGCTCCGCTTTCTCCACAGTGGTACAGGCTGGAGGCAAAGACCGGCACAGAAAATGTCAGAGGTACTTAGACACTTCTATGGGATGCAATCTTACAATATGCAGCTATATTTAAAACAAATCTGGAGAATGAAACTGAGCTAGTCATAGTTAAGTCTTTGGAAGGGTTGGAAATTGGTAGAAACTAGACTTGAGAGCCAAGTGGTGCATGCTGTTTGATTTACGGATAATCTTGTGCTGGTCTCTAGAGTCTGTTTTGATGCACTGATGAAAAAAATCAGGTAGTTTTCAGTTGGTCCAATGATAGTCATGTGGGCGTGAATTTCAGGAGAGATCATGGTGGCAATTTGGTGGGGCACACAGGCTGACGAGGCTTTCCCTGACGCCTGGCAATCCGACACCGGTGGACAGGCCCAATTTCGCCAGAAAGTCTATCTGTCACCGAAATTGTGGTATTTAAGGTGTAATGTAATCGAAGCTCAGGATTTGGTGTCACATGATAATCGCCCTCTGGAGCCGGTAATTGATTCCAACTCTGAAATACACAACTTCAATCTTAGGCCCCGCGAAATGCGTTTCTTTGTGTGTGTGAGTATGTGAGTGTGTCAATATATACGTAAGCCTTCTTAGTAATTTCCAACAAGACAGAGGCTAATTTTAATATGATGTATGAACTCTGCAGTACGTCAAAGTATTCGTAGCTCCGTATCAGACGTTGCGGACAAGACCATCTCCAACTGGAACGGGTAGTCCCTTCTGGAACGAGGACTTGATGTTTGTTGCTGCGGAGCCATTCGAAGACATCATGTATCTTGATGTTTTAGATCGAGTAAGTGTCCTTGAACTAACTATCATGCCTATCAATAGGATACCCTACCCTTAATCCAAACGTACCTCCTTGTGTTTATTTTAATTCAAAAATGTAGCACTGGCCAAAATGATTCTTATAGTTGACTTGTTCTGATGCACTGTTTCGGTTTGTGTAGGATGTGGTTCTGGGGCATGCAAGGGTTCCACTTAACAGCATTGAACGCCGAATCGATGGTCGTCCAGTTGCCTCCAGGTGGCTAAAACCGCACACTCAGTGGCATACCATCATGTGTACAACTTGAATGTTTTTGTGTTCATCTCTACAGTTCAAGATGTTTGCTGACAAGGATAGTTTGTGTTTCTGCACCACATGTACTTCATGTTGAAATAGATTCTCAAATGGAGGCATGAATTTGTCATGTATCAGGTGGTATGTTCTGGATAGAGGGGGTGGAACAGGTGGATCTTTTTTGGGCCGAATTCATCTTCGTCTCTGCTTTGATGGTGGTTACCATGTCATGGACGAGTCGCCGAACTACATCAGTGACACGCGACCTACTGCGAGGCACCTTTGGAGGCGCCCTTTGGGCGTCCTGGAGCTTGGCATACATGGAGCCAACAACCTACTTCCAATGAAGACTACGAAGGACCACCGGGGAAGCGTTGACGCGTACTGTGTCGCTAAGTATGGACCCAAGTGGATTCGCACTCGCACCATCTTCGACAGCTTCAATCCTCGTTGGCAGGAGCAGTATACGTGGGAGGTTCACGATCCCTGTACGGTTCTCACTGTCAGTGTGTTTGACAACAGGTATGAAATCACCTAGCAACTTCGTGGATCTTCGCTTTTCTTTGAATTGCATCGTTTACTTTTGGTAATGTCTGTTATCGGACTGAACGTGCGGAGTTGTACAGACACACAGTTCCGGCGGGAGACGCAGTGTCGGTGAAAGACTTGCCAATTGGGAAGGTGCGAATTAGGCTGTCTACGCTGGAGAGTGACCATGTGTACACGAACGCTTACCCTCTGCTGGTTGTAACACCCCAAGGAGTGAAGAAAATAGGCGAAGTGGAACTAGCTATCCGCTTCTCTTGTGCCTCTACAATGAATCTTATACACTCGTATCTCCAGCCCCAGTTGCCAAAAATGCACTATTTCTATCCTCTTGATCCTAGGCAGATGGAGAGCCTCCGAATGGCTGCCATGAATATTGTAGCACTCAGGTTGATGCGCTCTGACCCTCCTTTGAGGCAAGAAGTTGTCCAATTTATGTTGGACACGGAAGCAGAGCGTTGGAGCATGCGCAGAAGTAAAGCTAACTACTATAGAATAATGGTATGCGCCTCGTATCTTCTTCTGACGCCATTGTTAGCCGCCACAAAGAATAAGTATTCGTTTTTTTCCCCCTTGTCCGAAATTATCTAACGTATGTGTTTTGGATGATGTTCAGGGTGTGCTGAACGGGGTGTTAGCTGTGATGAACTGGTTTACAGACATCTGCAGTTGGAAAAGCCCGGTTACCACAGTACTTGTGCACATCCTGTATTTGATTCTTGTGGGGTATCCGGAGCTCTTCTTGCCTACGGTGTTCTTGTACATGTTCCTGATCGGGTCTTGGAGCTACCGCTTTCGTCCACGGACGCCCCCCTTCATGGATGCCAAGCTCTCTCAAGGAGAATACATTGGTGACCCTGATGAACTTGAAGAAGAGTTCAACGTGGTGCCGGCCAACAGAGCCCAAGAGGTCAGATTTATCATTTTCACTACTCATCCACAGTATTGTTAGCTGGCAACGTTACTCATGAACTCGAGACTGAAGCGGAAATATGGTAAATTGATTGCAGGTCCTGAAATATAGATACGAGAGGCTGCGTGGTGTTGCTGGTCGAATTCAAAACGCTTTGGGTGATCTTGCTAGTATGGGAGAGAAGCTTCAGTCCTTGCTCAGTTGGCGTGACCCAAGGTATGAAATGTAGCAACTTTCCAGAATACCTACTTTCAAAGCAGCCTTAATTCTTGAGTCCGCCGTTTATCCACTAAGTTTCATTTAACAATGAGTACTATGAACTTGATTTTCGACTTAGAATTTGCTTACAAGAATTGGGTGACTGGTGACGTTATGCAGGGCAAGTGCAGTATTCATTGCTTTCTGCTTGACATCATCTATCCTTTTGTACGTAACACCATTCCAAGTGGTGGCAGTGCTGCTGGGAGTATATGCATTGCGGCACCCTCGGTTCCGTGATCCTCTGCCTTCCATACCCTTGAACCTATTTAAGAGGCTACCTTCACAGGCTGACCGTATTCTATGAGGGTTTGTGCGCAGACCATGCTTGCATAAGTGGGCATGTGCTATTCTTAACCAGCGTTGCGTGAGTTCCTCTCTTTGTTAATTTTGTACCATGTCTAAACCAAAACATTTTCGTGTATTATTTAGGTACTGGGAATTTGCTCCTTTACATTAACCCCGGGATATGCTCTCTGCCACTGCTTAGTTTTAAAACCGTTTTAGGCTTTTACTTACGATTTAAAAACCTTGGATTATATTGACTGCACTGCCACAACTTACTGAAAGATTGGCAATAAAGATCACTATTATAAGAACGAACAAAGGTGCATTGTCCATGGCAGGCAGCAGCACTGTAACCTCTTCTATTCTGAGCAATTTGTTTACAAGTCTCCTAACCACAAAAATGAAAGAGATCCATATTCTACTTCCACACTTTCAAAATGATGAGTTAATACTAACTTAGAACTTGATGTGGGCCAAGTAGATATCTATTTATAGATTCCTAGAACTGATGGATGTGGCTAATTGATGGAAATTAAAATATTGTGTACAGAAAGGAGGGTACAACAGGCCAAATAAACGGAAAGTACTAGATCATTGAAAAGATCGTCCATACAACCGTGCTTTTGTGCCAATGGTTTTTGAAAACCTGAGACTTGACCCTCCCCTCTGACAACAATTTGCACGCACTAAAACCACCTTCATTAGATTTAGTATCTGGCGAGTACTGGAACCACGTTTCTCCACGAAATCTATCATCAATCAAAGTATCACCTTCAAAAAGAAGTAAAATCATACCAACAATAATGTTGTAACACCTCAGAACACATTTGAATCACTTTGTACTCTGTACGACTAGTCATGCTACTTTGAGGTTGTAGGTACTTTTGCTGAAGGAAAAACATTCTTAGAATTTGTCCAATAAACTATAAGATAAAGATTTGGCTCTTTTTCTCTCATATAAAATAATAATAATTTAATATAAAGATTTGATATAATGATACATAAAACTAAAGAATTACATTGAGATGATATTTATCTTATCAAAGATTTTTTAATCTTTGCAAGAAAAATCTAATCTAAAGAGATTACAAAAATCAATTTTATTAAGATGAAATCTCATAGTTACTTAGAATAATTACTAAAATAAATTTTAACAAAAAAAATTATAATTTTTTAAATATAAATTACTTAACTTTAAACAATAATAAATTTTATTTTCAAAGTACACAACTATTGAAAGATTTGGCATTCCTCATCTCTTTTTTAATTCTTTAGAATGCATAAGCTTTTTTATTTTTTATTTTCTTAATGAATTTCTACTATCATACCAAATAGTTCTATCTTATTTGTCTTATTTTTTAAATGTTATAATTATTCTAAGACTCTTGTCTTTTGAATTGTAAAAGTAGTTAATTTTGTTTCTACATGAGTATTTACCAATTTTTGATATTCATCTTAAAACCATTATTTGATTTAGAGTCTCTCTAAATTTTTTTTAAAAAAAAAAAAAAAAACAAAACAAAACAAAAAAATAAAAACAAAAAAATAAAAACAAAAAAAAACAAAAAAAAACAAAAAAAACAAAAAAAAAAAAAAAAAACAAAAACAAAAACAAAACACAAAAAAAACAAAACAAAAAAATAAAAAAAACAAACAAACAAACAAACAAACAAAAAATAAAATAAAACAAAACAAAATAAAATAAAAATAAAAATAAAAAAATGATATATAATCACTTTGCTAGAAACTTGCTTTGAAAAGGTCAATTATTTAGGCTTGTTATTAAGAGCCTTGTATCTATCATACATAAATATTTAAGTATTTTTTCATACAACGTCATCTTAGTGATATTTTTCTTAGCATTTATTAATCAAATCAATATGTTTTACCATTTTTTTTCTAAAATTTTTAATTTAATTTCATCAATTTATTTCTCATTTGCCATGCAACTTTTTAAGAATTCTTTTATTTGACTATATTCTTATTTGAACCTTTGGCTCAAGTACCTCTTTAAAGTAATGATTTTATTTTTATTTTTATTCTATCATTTCTTCCTCTACTTTAGAAGAAATACATTCTTATCTTTGTTTTTTACATCTTTTATGGCTTATTTGATAAATTTTAGTTTATTTTTTTATATATATATATATATTCCTATAATCTTTCACTTTGTTATTATATTTTGTAACCAAGCTTTGAAAGTGTATCAATTTTTGTTTATTCATCTTTTAAATTTTTTGTTGAAGATATCCTTTGAAAGTAAAAGGTACTTAATGTCATTTATATCAATTTTTTTCTAAGATTGTATTTATTTATCTTATGGTCTTAATCCAAACCTTTTCTTAAGAAAAGAATCTTAATCTTATCTTTGTAAAAGCCATCTTATTCATCCATAAACTCCTTAAGTAGCAACACAATAAACATTGGATATTATTTTAAGCTCTTAATGACATTTAATACATAGAAATTTTTCTACAAAATGCAAAGTATATCATATTGTCTGGTAAAATTTTGTGCCTACATAGAAGTGAGATGTGTGAGACAAGCTAAATTGCTTGTATTCAGCCACATCTATTTTCTTTGGAAATTTTCTACATTTTTACAATTTATGACTGTTTATTTCTTGGATTGAAGTTAGACAAATTTAAGCCTTGTATGAGTTTTTGTATAATTACCTCATGTTTGGCCATCCATTGAGAAAAAAACAACTAAATAGAAACTTTAGGTTGCTCTATCTTTTTTCTTTTTCTTTTTTATTCTATAAGATCTATTACTTTAATACATTAAAATCATGAATCACTTAAAATAATGAATTACCAATCAATAAATTAAGAGTAATATTGTACTTAAACTCCACTATTATCAACCATTTAATTTGGTCTAAATAATCATCTATTACTAAATATCAAACTTGCATTGAAACTATGTCATTTATTCTTTTAGTTTGTTTATTTTCTTATTGATGCTAAATTATAGACATAATGACCTTTTATCCTAATTGCCTCATGACATATTAACAAAATCTTATTGTAAATCTCACATTTCTATTAATTATAATAAATATAGATAATCTATATAATAAATTTGAATTAAAAAAATCATATTGTTATTAAAGAAATATTTTTATTTCTTCATATAAATTTTTTATATACATGATTATAAATATAAATCTATCAACTTTGTTAAGTCTATTGACCACCACAAATATAGCATTATAATCTCCATACTTTAATAATGACATTATAAAGTCAATAAATATTATAAAGATATATTCGTAATTTAAAATCTTTCCTTTTGTTGTATTAGAATGCTTATATTTTTGGCATACTAAGTGACATTTGATACATTAATTGACACTATCTTTTTATAAAGACGAATTATATGATTTGGTTGCATCTTTTAATGTGTATCTTACTTTTCTATATTCTAAGTAAAAGATCTTATATATATAAAACATAGTTTTTTTTTTTTTTTCTTTCCTTCAAAGTATGTAAATTCTTATCTATTTGAACCAAATAAGATCATATTTTATAGATTATATATCTATTAATCTTCTTTACTCCAATATATTCTTAATTTTAAAAAAATACTTTAATAATTTCTAATGCTTTAACATTTATACTATTTCTTTCTTTGGTATCTTTTATCAAAGAAGAATTTTTATTTTATTATATTATTTTCAAACACATTTAGTCTTAATAATTGTCTCTTATAAATTTCTTCTCTTCTATTGAAAGTATTCAATATTAGATTATATTTTATTAGAAATTAAATTAATTTTATAGTAATGAGTATCATATATATATATATATATATATATATATATATATATATTTAGATTTTTTTTTAATTAAATGCTTATATCTAAGATGTCAAGCACTAATACATCATGTACATACCACATCATGCAATTTAGAATCTATATAAACTATGCTTGTAGTGACTACTTACAATAATAAATATGTATCTCTATTGTGTAAGTAGCAATGTTAATAAACACACCACATAGCACCAATCCAAACTTAATTTGAGTTGTAGCTCAATACCTATCACAATTAGAAAGTAGATAGAACATTCACACACATACATCATTAGAATAAAAAATAAAAGTAACTCCAAGTACACATAGATATCTTGTAAAGTTAAGGCCAACTAAGCCTCTTTCATTAATAACAAGTGGAAAAATTCTAATGGAGTACAAAGAGTCAAAAATAAACATAATAAGTCAAGCCACATATAAACACTATGAAAGTATATTAATTTACAATAAGAAAAGCTATACACTCAAACTCCCTTTTCAAAGGCTCAACTTAAAAAAGATGAACCATCTTAGCAATTTGGAGTATATAAATATAATAGGATTTTAATAGAAAGTCAAGGACCTCTAAGACCTCCTTCCAAGATTCCTTTCAAGACCCCTTCTAAGACTTAAAACTTAAGTCTCACACTTGCAGTGACTCCATGCTCCACAATACACTTTGGCATAGATCACTACATTCTTGACAAAGAATTAAAGTACTTAAGTAACACATTAATAATAAAGACTTAAATATAACTAAATTTTAGATTATTTATTTAAGAATTCAAATAATAGACCAACAAAAACAACTTGTTTTCATAAGTGTACCACCTCAATTAAATTTTATGTAATTTTTTTTTTTTTGTTTAAGAGCTATAAGACTTCTATCTCATATGAATAAATCTCTATTTGTAAAAATACTTATATTTGAGTATACCTTAAAAAATTTGTTAAATTTAAAATATATAACAACATCCAAACCAACAAGATTCTTGTGAATTCTTTGAAATTCATCAATATAAGTTTAGTTCCAAACTATCTTCTTCTTTTCTTTTGCAAGAAGGTTTACAAGAAATCTTACAATCTTAGAAAATTTCTTAATGAACTTATTTTCTTATTTGTTAATCTTAAGAAAGAATTAATATCCTTTTGTATTTTGAATTTCTTTTGAAGTCTTTATGGCTTCTAACTTCCACAAGTCCGGTTCCAATTCTTCTTCACTTATGAAGTAGCCAAAGAAATTTAGTTCTTTTATAAAAAGATATATTTTTTTAATAATTGGCTAAAACAACTTAAAATCTTTAATTTTTTATAATTTTATGTTTTTAAAAAAGATTAAGATGTCATCAATATATGCCATCAAAAAATATTACAATCATTATTAAAGAGCAAATCTTTGAATGTTGTGAACATAGTCAAAAAATTGCACAATTTAGAAGTCATTGACAAGAATTTATAGAATCTATATCTTGTCTTATAAGAATTCTTTACTATATTTTTATTTTTAATTTTAATTTTATAGTAATTTACTTCAAATAAATACTATTAAAGTAATTATTTTTATTTGATAAATTTAACAAGGCATCAATTCTTAGAAGATTGTTTTTTTAATTGTTGTCGTAATAAAGGCCATATAGTCAATAACTTTTGCATCTTTCCATCATTTGTGCTTACAAAAACTACTAGATCTTCAAAAGATGACTTATTTGGCATAATTCATCATTCACACAATTCATTGAATTTCTTCTTTAATTCACTCAACTTGACTTGATTTAGTCTATGAAGTGTCCTATTAGGATGTTCTATTCTCAATATCATATTAATTTATAATCTATAATTTTCTGAGATATATTTTTTTATTTAGTAATATATTTGTAAAATAATATTCAATTTCACTTAAGATATTTTTAAAAAAATTAACATTTGTAAGAAAATAAAAACTTTATTTTTCCTATTATTAGTAAAACTTTAAATAAAATTAAAAATATAAAAATATATATATTTTATCTTTCTTAAATTATAAATTAAAGTCTAAATTTATATAATAGAAAAAAATTATAAATATTAATTCTTTCACCTTTCTATCTTTTTCCAATTATGACTCCTTTAATTTTTTGTATCCATTCTAATTTCTTCACAATAGTAAAAAATATAAATAAAATAAATAATATAATATAATATAATAACTACATATCAAAGACAAGACCTTAAAGGAAGATAAATAACTAAAATAGAAAATATATCAAATATTACAAAAAAAATAAGAAAGTATGTATGTACTACAAGAAATTAGAATAGCTTTTGCTAAAGACAAGAAGAGTAGAAACTCGTAAAATTAGATTAGAAAAAAGAAATTTATTGACAAGAGTAATAAAGATCTTCTTCTTATTTTTATATGTACTATCTAAGTAAGGAGATATATAATAATGTTTTGTAGGTCATTTGATACATGTCCAACTTACAAAATACATATTTAACTTGCAAGATAAGGTACTAAATTGCTTGTTGTATGGCCAACTTATACTACAAGTGGCCAACATGTGCAATATATAGCCAACTTGTTGGCCAAGTTTTCAACCTATCAATCACATAAAAATACTTATAAAAATAAATCCATATTTATGAAGCTTTTAAGAAGCTATTTACAAAAATATCATGAAATTAACCAACTTTTATGTACTTTTACATAATTCTTCTTATCCTTCTAATTATTAATGTCAATATTGTTGTCCATGACATTATCTCTCATTCTAGTTACAAGTTCTACAAATAGCAGTGATTACATATTGAGAAGTTCCAAGATGCCAAAAATTATATTTAACACATACTTTAATCTTGGTTTTCTTTCAAGGTTGTGATACTAAATGAATTGTATCTTACTACCTATTAAAAAAAAACATATTTTTTTTGAAGGCCTTCATTTCTATTGTGTTTTCTTAAAGGCTATGACAATTTCAATGACTAGTTTGTAAGTCAATGAACAATAGCTCTTAAATTAAATCTATTGATATTTTATTCTCCATTATAAATTCAAAGAAACCAAAAACAATGATAGAAGATAGAGTTATTTCTTCATTGAACCTTCTTTGCTTTATAGCAAAGAGTATCTTGACTCTTCATCTTGATTTTTATGGATATAGTTGATAAAAAGCACAAATCTTCTTTCATGCACTTGCAAGATTTGGAGATAGCTTTCATGTGCATTCATTAATATCATATTTGCACCATTGTATAAGATATTTTGATAGATTTCAACATCACCTTGAGTTTAAGACATCTTCTACTTCAAACTCTTAATTGTTGTCTATTTCTATGAAAGAAAGTGACAATTATTTTCTTCTTGGTATATCCATTATCTTATATGGTTCAAAAACATTCACATGACTAATAGGATGGATATACATAGATTCCAATAAATGTAATCAATTTTCAAATAAATTAATTTGTTTATAAATAAAAAAATAATTATCCAAGTCAATATTAATTCAACTTATTAAAAAGACAAATAGTCTTGATATTACAATAAAGTAACCATATCTTATTGCTAATATGGAATTGAGCTTGTTTTTACAATAGACATCTCTATTTTAAGAATAAAATTTCATGTGTAAGAATCTAAGCTTTTAATTGAATTAGATTGTAAATTTATTTTCTATTTGGTATAATCAAATATCTAATGTAAACAATTTTAAAAATTTTAATTAAATCTATATGACAATATTATTAATTATAAGATATGCTTTGTGTATCCAATTCATTTTTGTATTGCCTAAGATCTCATTATTTGATTTTTTTTCTACTTTTATTTTAAATTTTCATTTGATTGTAATAGAAATTACTAAAATAAAATATAAATATAATAAATAAATAAATTACAGATACTTTCTTTAAATCCTTAACAATTTATGCTTTAAATTAGCACACCAATCATACTCAAAAAAGATAACATCAAAAAAATTGCACAAATTTGTAAGATAGCAATCATCTTACAACTTGGAGCTCAAGATACAACAATAGCACCAAAATTTCAAAAAAGCAACAACATCATTGCTGGATTATCAAAACCTACTTAAAGAAACTAATTATTTTCATGAGAATCCAACTTACAGAGACTTTGAAATTGAATGAAAAATGGCATAGTTACGTACAAAACAGTATTTTAATACTAGGTCACTGTTCTACTAAGCATCCTAGGAGTGCTCTTGATGTGGTCACAATTTAATTTTTCAGCAGAGCTAACCAATTCCACAACCTTATCTTTGTTCAATGTAACCGTGTCATGAGATTGTCAAAATAGTGCACAAATAAAAGGTATAAATCCGCCCATGGTATGTGATGAGAGCCGCACCCCACAAGAATATCGGCTGCTTCAGCTCAGAAAAAGGTGGATAAGCTTGTAGGTTATCTGCAACATCTGAAGAATTTCATGTACTAAGATCAGCAGCAAGAGCAAATGAAAGGAAAGTGACCAGCAGCATCTGTGGACAAAGGAAACCATCAGCAGCTACAATGAAGTGAAATGCTAAGTAGTAATTTTGCAAGCTCTATTTGTTAATACTGCCTCTAGGATGGCCATGATACAGGTGCTACTAAAATACAAAAGTACGCAATCTCGGACGTTGCAGCCCAACCTGGCTAACTACCCCAGACACCCTTCTCAGATTTCTAGTACACAACTCTAAATTAGAGGGGCGACGGCATGTCAGTCCAACAAGTCCACTACTAGCAGATGTGACATAGCCTATTTTCGAACTTGACTGACGACTTAAAAACAGATCATTCGAAGAAATAGAACTGGTGCACTGCATCTTTACGGAGCTCCCTCTCCTTGCCCAAAGCCATGCCGCATAATAGTGTGCAGATGAGCGGTAACCACCCCATGTTGAGGTCCTCGGCAAATTTGAAGAAGCTCGACGTGTGTTGGAATGCACAGAGGTGTTGATAGGTGAGCCGCGGTTTACTGGAGATTTAGTTTTGTTCGTCAAAACAGGACTGGAAGGTCTGCTGATCTCCCCACTTACTTGATTCGCATCATCGATGAGCTTGGAATTGGTACCTGCTAAAACACGGTCGGCCTCCCCATCTGCCCCAATTGACCGCCAACAATCGGCAACCAGCTCAATGCACTCCAAATCAGGGGTGAAGCCTGCCTTTCTAATATACTCTAGTATTTCTTCCGCACGTCGAGGCCATCGTGCTTCTTTGAAGCCCCATATAAGCGTTCGAAACGTTTGCATGTTTGGAAAAACACTTCGAGAACGCATTTCCTGGAACACTCTCATTGCATCGTCCATTTGAGCCAGGCTGCAGTACCCACTGATCACAGTTGTGTACGTTATTACATTCGGCTTAAGGTTTTCGTCGATCATGATATTTAAAAAGGCTTCTCCTTCTTCCGGTCTTCCCTGACGGGAATAGCCTTTGACAAGAATTGAGTAGGCCATAACGTCCGGTTGAAGATCATATTCCTTCATTCTAAGTAGAACAGCTTTGGCTTCGTCAATGAGGCCTGTACTGCACCAAGCGTTCATAATGAGGCCGAACGTCTGCACGTCCGGCTTAACTCCAAAATTTTCCATCAATTTAAAGACCTGTAAAACATCAAGTTGAAATGAAAAAGAAGGAAAAAACCTTGAAAGAACCTTGAGAATAGATTATGGTGTTTTCAAGGCAAGTGAAGATCCACAAATTAAGGTGCTCTCTCGAATCCCGCTTACCTTGTCAACTTTATGTGGTTTCATAGATTCAGAGTAACCTTTCACTAGATGATTAAATACTGCTATAGTTGGCGAAATCCCGTCCATCTTCATGCGCTCAATTAAACGTAAAGACTCATCGATTTGACCAGCTGCAATGTACCCGTTGATGACGATACCATAGGTTCGCTCATTCGGTCTAAGGTACACGTTCTGCATCTCCGTAATCACGTTTTCTGCGTCCCAAGGCTTACCAAGTTTTGCAAAAAGCTGAGAAAATAAGCCACGTACGAATCAATTAATAATCCACCAGATGATGAGAACTAATCGCCTGGTAAAGAAATGAGCAATCGAAAATTCAAAAATCCACCAATTTCGAAACGATGAGATGACAAATGTACCTGTGCCAAAGTGTTGTACGAGACGACATCAGGGCCGACACCGGCAGCCCGCATCATCGATATCACATTCCGTGCTTTCTCTGGGTTCTTATCGTGAGCCCAAGCCTTGATAAGCATGTTGAAAGTTCGATCATTCGGCTTCGAATTGACATCCTTCGCCATTTCCTGTAGTAACTTCATGGCTTCCTCCGGCTGTCCATCCAACCCATACCCCTTGATCAATGTGTTATACGAGCTTGTTATCAACGGGCATCCTCGTTCCTTCATCTCAAGTACTAGAGCCTCTGCCTCTTTCATCTTTCCAGCTTCACAGTAGCCATTAAGTAATGTGTTGAAAAAGATAGCATCTGGAATAACATTGTCTTCCTCCATTTGCTGAAGCAAGAGTGGCCCTTCTCCTAATCTCCCATCACTAATAAGACTACTTAACAACAAAGTATATGTTTCTTTTGCGGGACGATGCCCGTCTCTTCTTAGGTTTTTCAGAGTTGACCGAACTTGCCTATGGTCGCCCCTGCTCATCCGCCAGTAAAAACAACAGAAATATATAAGCTAGCAGCGACAACGGACACACCAGAAAAACAGATCAATGTCACCACAACTACTGGTAACTTATACAAGGAAGAGACTTGCTACAGAAGATTCAAGGAACTTTTGATTCCTCATGAGGCACGACTAGATGGGTGATAGTACATGAGCCAAGATTCAAAGAAAGCAGCTATCTAAATATCCTGACGATTATAAGAGGAGTGGACTGGCCAAGATTTTCACATCAAATTGTCAGAACAGCCATCTAAAACTTGATGAGTAGCGAATTGGATGCTTCACCTGGAGCGGAAAGTTTTCATCAGGCGTGTCCGCATAACAACAATTTGACATTGTTGCGTATTATTGATATCAGAACAACGTGTACACTTTTGCAAATTCTCTACACACTTCACCGTTGAATGTTTCGTGCTCCCGCATTTCGTGCATCGAGTTCTCTATTACCAAAGAAGCAAGATACAAAACAACAACAAAACAGAACAAAAAACTCGTCAAAACGGAACTATGCAACAGAGGGAAGATCAAATAATGTAGCCACAAAAATTTCCTGTATAATCGAAGTGTTCAGGCTACTAAAAACACAAGCATTGATTCCGGCAATGCGAAAATAAACTTCTTTTTCTACCCTGTCACAGTTGAAAACTCACAAGAATCAACTACTCAGTGTTGCCGATTTCTTGCAAAATTGCCATCACAACATCATTTGCCAAGCGCCAAAGGATCCAAAAATTGTAAACCTAGAACAAGATTATGCTTCAGAAAATTGGGGTTTAAACACTGAATACGCAACACTCAGATAAAACTGCTCAAAATCTGTGCAATGTACATTGTGATTATGACCACTATCAGTCACAAAATGTCAGAGTGAATATTGTCCAAGTCCTGTGCAAGGAAGTTTTGGCTCCGAACCACCCGTTGAGAAGTGATGGATCAACAATTGGACGAAGAAAGAATAAGTTAAACAGACCTTCTGGTCGACTCTCTTCGGATGCTGAAGAGCGACGGGATCAGGAGGGCGCGGAGCCAATGCATGTTTCCTAGTAGGCTTTTTGGGACCCAATACTATTGCGGGTTTCTTTGCAGTCTTCGGCTTCTCATTCCTGTCACTGCTGCGAGAGGCTGCAGAATCCCCCGGCACAACCGGCAGGGACGGCTGTGGACACATCTCTCGAACCTTCAAAATACTACTGAAGCCTTTTCAACTGTAATCCAATCCAGCTGCCGTTCGATTTCCTTCTCCATACACTAAGTCTCTCTCAACCCTTTGCCTCGAAACTCCATCGCTCACAGCAAGCCTCTTGCTGAAAGACGCCTAAAACTCTCAGCTCCCGCCTATGCTCTTCTCCAGCTCACCACCACATCTAACATCCCACAATCCACCATTCAACCAACAGGCATAACAAACCAACCCTCTCAAGCTTCAAAACCGTGAGTACCAAGTTACTCACCCATTCCTTTGCATTGCAGCATAATGGCTTCGGCTGGCCAATTGACAATGAAGTGGAAATATCCATCCTGAGCACTTTCCACCCAATAAGCCTCTAACAATAATCTCCAATTTCTCACATCTCATACAACCTCTCACCACAAGCGCTGAAGTGAGTAAAGGTAAGATAACCACCACAACAATCTCAACTTTTCTGAACCACCCGCAGCCTGCGCGGCACACTCGCGCCTACAGAAACGGAACAAAAAAGTGAGCGATTATCACCCCGCGCGAAACAACCCTGTGGCTCTTGCCTGCCGGATGAAAGAGGTAGATTCGGACCATGAAGTTTTTTTTATTCCTCCTTCATCGTGCACGGTGCACCTCATATGAGTCATCGCCGTTGGGGTGCGCGACGTCGGAGCGCTCAAGTGTCTCACCCTCCAGTTACTCTGTCGACTTGGCTGTGCACTGCATCCATCCCTCCCACCCTCACATCTTTCTCCCTCACTCCTCTCTCAGTCTCAAGCGTCCCTCCTCACTCGACCATGGAATCTGTATGCCACTCTCTCCTTCTCAGTGAAGACTTTTTCTCATGTGAATTTCCCATTAACGAGACAGTGGGCTCTGCTCGCCTGCTGCCAGAAACTCAACACTTTGTGCCATTGTAGAGTCGAGATTTAGAAACTGCAACATCTCAGAGCTATGTCGGCTCTATTGCACAATGCCAGCAAGCAAGAACGAGGAATTTCGATCATAGCCCACAAAAATTTAGCACACAGAAAACTGCATCGAATTGTTGTCCGGAACAAGTAATTGAAAAAATCATTCGAATCTTGTTGCCAAGCGATTTCATTCTAGAATTCTGAGTCCCATTTGTTCTCCTCAATTTCGATTTGCGATATCAATCCACCTTCCATGCCAGCCTCGCGACGGTGGATTACAACGGCGGGGAGACTGTGCACAGTGTGAACGACGCCGTTGGCGACGGCGAAGGAGGTGAGTTTCGTCGCAGTTGTGTTGCGGGGTTCGGGTGGTTCCAAATAGTGTAGATTTTAAATGCGTCTAATTTAATCCTTTCTTTTTCTTTTTTCTTTTTTTTTGTTTTTTTGCTATGCTTTGCCAACTTTACTAGTGAATTTGATTAGAATCTATTTTACATACGTACATACATACATACGATCAGCTTTGAGTATAATTTTTTTCATATTTATGACATCATTTTAAGGTTTGAATGCAGTAGTTTATGCTTAAAAGTTGTATAAATCATTTCTTTACAATCATAGCTACTTAATACAATTAAAAAAAATATATATCTAAATTTCTTTTTAAATGATATTTTAAGATAAATTATTTAAGTAAAAATCAGTCAAATGAACAATCTTTAACTTTATTTAGCAAAAGAAGAAAAAAGCATAAAAATCAAAAACTAAATAAATAAATAAATACAAATTTGTATGAAGAGCCAGAAACTCACACTATGCATTTTTTTATAATAGACTTTCATTTCTTGCTTTGTTTTTTTGTTTTGTTTTTTTTTTGTTTTTTTTTTACTAGTGCATCTAGTTCTTAAGTAATAAAATATTTAATTTAAAATTATTATACAACACTTTCAATAAATATTTTATTTAATATATAAATATGAGAACTTTGTAAGCCTATTATTATTTTTATCATTTGAGTCTAAATTTATAAGTTAGGTTCAACAAAACTCTTGTTATTGTCAAACAATTGCAATTATTGGCAAATCCTTCTATTGTAGGACATTGTAGTAATTTTCCTATATCAAACAATATAGAATACAAATTTTAATATAAGACACTAGTAAAGAACATGAAATACATCAATTCTTATGCATGTTAGATTTACATAAGAAGATCAACCTTGCATTTAAAGCTCATAACTACTAATTATTGTCCTAGACTAGTAGGACAATTAGAATGAAATTATTCTAAATTAGAATGAATTAAGTAGGACAAATAGGTAGAACAATGTCCAAATTTTGATGAAATTACATACATTAGAAGGGCCTAATTAATGGGGTCGAGAATCTAATATATATATATATATATATATATTTATATATGTGCATAAAAAACTGTAGTAAAATCCTTAAAAAATAATTCAATAAAAAATTTAATACAAATATATGTATTTGAGATAATTAACATTTTACAGATACTATCTTGGTGTTATTTCTATAGCTGATAACAAATAAGTTCTATTATAAAATCGACTTAAAATCTTTAGAAGAAAAAATAAATAAATAAATATTGCACTAAAATTGAAAAAAATATGCTTATTAATACATATTAATTACATTAAGATTAAACTGATATCTACTTACCATATAATTAGAGAATATTTAAATAAAATTACAAGTATTTTAAAAGAATATAATTTGGTGACAAAAAAAACTCAATGAATTATTTACATGCAGTTACAATAAACAAATGAAACTATATATATATATATATATATATATATATATCATCATCAATAAAACCTTTGGAAGAACAAAAATGTTGCTCTACAAATTTCCCAATCCTTCAATATCTTTACTTTTTTGTTTCTCCCTTACATGCTATTCCACTACTCCTTATGTAATTAGGAAAATATTCAGTTAGATAACCCAGAAATACAAAAACAAGTTCACTAATTTCTATGATTCCTCCCCTGAACACTATAACTAGCCCCGTATAGAAATAAAATGCATACATGTATTGATCAGAGTTTGTTTTGAGATGGTCAAATACACACACAACTTAGACGAGTTTTCAAACATGGAACTTAAACAAATAAATAAAATTCGGTAGTGTTCATGACCTGATCAGCAAGTACTACAGTTTGACGTGGAGACTCGTATCACAACAGATCTGAGTCATGGAAAACTCTATGGCCACTTTTGGTTAACCTCATCGATTTTGTGATATGATGGAATGTGAACAGTTGCAAACAAATCCATTGATGGTGGCACCACTCATTGATGGGCACATCCTTGCATTTGAGTGATGTCACTTGATGATAAAACCCACCACAAACCATATCATTCTCGTCAGATTCTCCAGTGCAAAGAAGACACCGTCCAACCCAAACTGTTGAGTTTGCTTGTGATAAGAAAATGACACGAGGAAAATCATCCAAGAGGTAAAAATTAATCGGTCACTTCAATGTTATGACCAGGTTACAAAATGCTAGCGTTGATCACATAATATTCACAATAAAATGCAATGATTTGATCCTGACCAAGGGCAGTCTCTGTGATAACGCCCAACCCTGCCGGGTTCTACTTCAGTGCTGAAGAGATCACCAATGGACTGAAAATATCTTTCTCCATATTTTCAGAACCTCAAGAAACCAGAAAATTACATACATATCTATCTATCTATCTATCTATCTATATATATATATATATATATATATCGTGATATGCTTCCTTCCTTCCGAGTGCGGATTAGACGAGTTGTACAACGGCTGCCACTCGCAGGGATCCGCCCTGCAGAAGCTCTGGCAACTTATCAAACAAAAAAGCCGTCCGCCAGCCCCATCCTTTAGGAGCCTTGGGTAACAGCATACCAGCTTGAGTAAGGCTTCCGAGAGATATCACGCCCCTCTTGGCCAGGCATATGAGCTGCAAGAAACACATATTGAACTGCGTTGTCCTTGCCATTGGATACGGGATGTTGCAATCGACATTTTCATTCGGCAGCAATATAGACAGTGAACTATTCAGAACTGTATTGCAAAACACCTTCTCTGCAAGACACCAATAATTCTAAAAGACCTAAAGGAAAAAGAAATGCCAATGTAAATGTAAACGAAGAATCACAACCTCCCTCTTCCAATCCAAAATTTCCCGGGGCACAGCTGAAATCAAACTCATGGTTGAGGATACTTACTTGGTAGCGTGCTGTCACTTTTTCACGGGTATCAGTATAGAAGAAAACCTGGCAAAGAACAATGCTTGAAAAGTTCGTAAATGTAACAAGCAGTGAAAGTGCGCACACCCACACCCACACACACACACATATACGCATATATATATATATATATATATATATATATATATTGAAAAGAGGAAATAATCACATATCATACTGTGCATAATTGTCCAATCATATGCATGCCCTCAAGAAAATATGCATGTTCCAACTTGTAAAGCTATCATGTCAAACAAAATAAAAAAATAAAAACAAAAAAATTGTCAATTCACATCCTTTTACACGATAGAAGTCAACCTTTCTATGAGGACCAACGTCTTCTGCTTTGCGTCTGTGCAGAAATAAACCTGCATACCGAATTTATCAATTATAAGCCCGGAATAAATTATCATTCTTGCGAACCAGAAGTTTGCATTGTCAGCATTTGATAATTTGGGCATTTAAAGTAAAACGATTACCAAGCGTACGCCTCCCCCTTGGATCTTCATCATTGAAGGCTTGCACACTGACCTGATCCACAGAATGATCGTCAAAATCTCACTTCCACTTCAGGAGTGAAAGCATAACATATGTGAAGAGAAGTTCCCTAGCAACTTACAGGTGCACCAACGATTTTTACGAAAAACTCGAAGTGAAATTTGGCTCGTGTTCAAACTTTAAGTGAAAAAATATAAAAGTTGAGCACAAATAAGAACGCAGAATTTTCAATACTTACCTTCCACAAAGACCCAGCATAGAAAGTCTCTGGTGAGTGCTTGGCCTGACCGTCCAAAAGGCGATGCACGTCTTCAAATTCGACACTGTAAACAGTCGTGCTTCATTACATTATATTATATGCACATGAACGTTGACTTGAATTCCCCAAAAGGGGTAAATATAAGACATATTAACAGCAGAATGAACCCTATTTACCAAACAAAGTTTGCAAATTTCAATTCCTTACCCAAAACGAAATGAAGGAAAGTTTCGCAAAGGTGTGTTCAAGTCCAACAAAATTGATCCACCTTCACCTTCCTCCGATTCTCTTGTATCTATATCCTCAGTAAGATTCTTGGTAATGTTCAGTTTAAACGACGTTGAATCAGTATTTGGAGGCTTTGCTGATGAATCTTCATGATTCCTTGGATTTAGATCTGCTTGACCAGAAGCTCCAACACCACTGGGAGCAGTTCCGCCTTGAGTAAGCCCAGTCCCACCAGCAGGACCATCAAGTGTACAATGAGCGGCAGGTAAATCACGTCCAAAAATTTCAAGTCTTGGATCCATTTGACTCTTTCCATCTTCACCTTGTTGGGGATTCCCTCTTGCACCGTAAGCCCCCAAGGACGGAACGTACAAGAATTTAGGAGCTGGCCAACTGCCAGGAGTTCTAAAAGTTGTCCCTCGACCAATTCCCGCTAAACCATCCATCGTGTTGCGAAAAGGGATTCGACCAACAGACTCTGAATTGCCACCAATTCCCTCTGCCCCAGGAAATATACTAGTAGACGTAGAACCTGAACTCTGACTGTCGTCTCTGTAGTGTAGACCAGGTAACCTCTCATGCTCATAACTGGCGTTGAATTGACGACAGTTACAATTCTCATAAACAAGGCAACAATTTCTACAGGTGTCGGCAGCAATTGTGAGAACTTGCTGCCGTAGGAGTGTCTGCAATAACCAACAGAGTATTAAGGCCTAAGTCACCATTATACGTGATTATCCATATGTTGAAATGCCACCACAAGTGACAAAAGATGTTGCTTTGTATAATCTTGAATACAGAGCTGCCAAAGAACACCCCAACAATCGAGTGATGTAGCTTTCCAAATCTAGACTCGCAAAAATGAAAGTAGTCAATTTTATGTTTCACATATTGTACTGGCTCATAGAGTAGGGACATGCTACAAGTATTACATCACGATCATAAGTACTATACCTGTAACCACAAGCTATCAATAACTGATTTGCATGGGAAACCTAGCTTCTCCAGACGGCCTCGCATGTGCAGCAAATGATCGAATGCCATATGACAGTAGAGAACACCTCCACCTGCGAACACGCCTAAGAAAGCCTCCCAATCTTCTGCAATGCTCCAGTGTCTACCATTGCGGAAAGCTTTCCTCACCCTCCTATCAACGACTCGCCCACCCCATGAAGGCGTTGGGCATGTACTACGTGTGGAGCACACCAAAACATCTTAATAGGATTAGAAATATCCTGGAAGAAGGTCATTATATAGTCACCTCTGCTGCTTAAACATGTGCAAGAAATTCGACGCTAAATCACAAAGAATCCTCCTTTGCTTATTTAGTTGAAAAAGCCGCTTTACTCAAAAGCATTTGATATCAAGAATCATTGCTAAACCCAAGACGAAGTCAGAAGAGGATCTACTTGTGAAAAGTCCTCTAGAATGCATTCAAATTAGCTTGAAGTTGGTACCTTGAACATCGATCCTGCACAACTTTACTGTTTGAGGATGAGGTTGTCTCTGAAGTTAGTAAGCAGGGACTATGACCAACGTGATCACCAGTTGAAAGGGGATGCCAAGCCTCTTCACAACCAAGCCTACCACAAGAACTTGACTCAACACCAGAGTAACTCAATTGATCAGGAACGACACGTATATCCCCACAGGTGGAAGCTTCTTTATTTTTGGGCATCTCATTGAAAAGTTGTGGCGAATCCACTTCCTTCAGGGGTTTCCCACTTGGGGTCTCGAAATCATGATCATGTGTAGGTGTTGATACTCCTGAGCATTGAACTGCTCGGACAGAGTTCCTGGAGTCCAAACTTAAGGAAGTTGTAGGAGAAGATAATCCAGCAGAAGAATTTGTGACGGCTGAATCATCACATTCAAACGAAACATCGCTTTTTGTTGCTTCATTCAGTGCTGACAGTGGTGCACCCTCGACCGCTACATGACTCATCACTTGATCTGATTCCAACCTGAGGTCAAATTCCAACCAGCATTAATTTATCAGCATTTCTATTCCAATGCAAGCTCAGACACATAAAGCCGTTAGCAGGACAATCATGCCAGAAATTCTCGAGAAAAAACATCAATATAAGTGTATGTGAAGGAAACCTAACATCCTCAGCAGAAAACTCCCGATTAAGGATTAAATATAAAACTGACCTGGGAGTGACATTGTTATCAAGCCTTTCAGGATTCTGATCCTCGTGAATCAAGGAGCCAGACAAAAATGAGTTCTCAGGGCCAGGAATCCCTGTCATAGGGAATCCTTTCGAATCAGCACTCGACAGCTGTGGCATCTCCAGCACCCCACCACGAGCTATCAAAACATAAAATGCAAGCTCAAATCTGCCTCACAGTAACACAGAACATTCTTCTCTGATTAAAAATAGCATTGAATTTCACACTTAATGAATTAGAAAATATACATTTAATAATGTCTTTATTGAACATTGAGCATACAGTAATTCCAAGCACAAGACCACTTTACTTAATTAATCTCATTATCATAATCTAGTGCAAGTAATGCCCAAGAGCTATTAAGCGCACCTCTTCTCTTCGCTCAACACCCAGAGCTCATCAGATGCCAATAGTTTCTGCAAAGTTTGTGCAGAAAGCTTTGGAAGAATCTGCAGGAACAATCCTAAAATTTGAACTCAAAGTTCACTTTTCATCACAAAGTTTACAAAGTATTGGCGTATGTGACGACAAACACGTATTGCAGCCACGCCCACGAGACACAGACAGGAAGAACTGACCTCCCGAAGCTCAACAGCTCCACCACGGCAAAGATAGCCCCAGCATGCCTTGCGCACTCTTTCACCATGTAAACCATAATCTTGATTTTCAGCGAATGCCTGGCCTCTTGACGGGTAAGTATTAAACTTATTGAAAGATATTGCCAGAAAATGTGAATTTTACAATAAGCATAGTGCAGAAACCAGGCATTCGGTTCTAACAACCCAAACATCTGTAAAGAACGATCAGGTCGGTTACTAAATCACTGTAAGAATTGAAGTATAAGTTTATGAAGCTTAGCCAGAATAAGCACAGTCTACCTGATAAGCGAGAAAGTTATCCGTCCAAAGCTCGGAAATAATGAAGTCCGTGCAAAGTGAACACAAATCCTGCAAAGTTAAACATTATCATAAAATCTAAAAGTTGCAAAGAGTTCGCCATAAGTTGCTGAGAGTCATAGCATAAAAACAGTTTGACTGAGAGTGGACTGCAACCCTATCCACTCCATAAAACACAACTTTAACAGCTAACGCATTTATGATTACTGCTTAATTTGAAGGTCTGGGGCCAATCCCTCACTCCCGCTGTGCTTTACAAAACTCACTCGCATATCAAGAAACTTGCAAAAAAGTTATAAATTTCCTTCGTTTTCTAATTTCAATAAACCTAGATGGTCAGGATACACACAACATAAGACAAAATGCAGGAACTATAAAAGGATAAGAAAATACAGCAACTGTAAACGTATAATAAAATCTACCTGGAGATCTAGGAAGGATCCAGCTGCAAGCACTCGAAAGGCATTGCTGTCATCAAGCTTTGGATAGTGACCATACAAGTACGCTAAAGCAGTTTCCAAGGCATCCGCATTCACGTTGTCGTCATCAATATGCAACGTTATCTCAGGAGCTCCAGCCTCTTTCCATGGACCCTGCAACATTTTTCTGGATGCAACCAAACGAACAAGAACATTAATTATTCAAACCTCCACAAAAACACACTGAAAATGGAACAGAAGCAGCGTCTTTCACGTAGCAAAACTAGCATATCGTACATCAGTTTCCCTTGTTTACGAGCATCACTGTTTCACCATACTTCAAACATAAAACAACGATAATACAGCATCTTAATTCAAAATTTACGGGTTAGAGTTTATTGGCAAACGGAAAATATCTTAACAATCGTCTTCTTTCTCAACAAAAAAAAAAAAAAAAAAAAAAAAAAAAAAAAAAACTCCACTCGACAATCGAAGCATACATCCGAAAATCTCAAAGTTGAATTATCGAAGTAACATCATAAGAAGCTCATGTTTGAATACATGCCTTCTATGCTTTATCTCAACGTCATTCTTAGAGATTTAATCAATAAATGCGAATCTACTAGTTGCGACTTAAGGATCCCAACCTGAAATACGAACTTCGAGAGAGAAGAAATCGGTGCAGGTGGAAAGTTTGTCCCATTGCTTTCAGTATAACGTCTGAGAAGGCCTTCGACTTCCATCCCTCCACTTGCACATGCTCACAAAGTGCTGTCAAATTACTGCCTATGGCGCACATGTTAGGGCCGCCATCGCTGCCTGAAGAGGCTCCTGGTGCCACTTTAAGTGGAAGGGATGCCGCACGCGATGAGCAGATGGACGACTGTAAGTGAGAGGCCCGAGGTCTACCTCCCCCTACATGTAGTGCCTCCATATTAGCTGAGATCCTCGCCCAAACCGAGCGCCTCCGCTAACTTTATGCTCATGGATCAACGATGTATCTCTCATTAAAATCTGCCAGTCAGCACGCCACCATCATATCATTCAAGTGCCGCATCCAACTATTTCCACTCTTTCACCTCTGACGTCTAATTACACAGAATGAAGTCATATGTTTTACAGAGCTGAAAAAACTAATTGATTAAATTATATGATGAATGCTAAACCAAGACGGTTTGCGTAATTCTGTAATAGCATTCAAGGCCAAAAAAAAAAAAAAAAAAAAAAAAAAAATAGAAGTTCGTATGTAGGATCTAAAACCGTCTCACTGTCCCAACTCCATTAACGCTTTTCTGACAGCCTCCTTACATTCAAAAACGTTAATCGGTGAGTCAATTTACAAGATGCTGCCGAACTGTGTCAAGGGCTCCCTCCTACACCGGTTTCGCCAACCTAACGACTTCGAAACTTCAAATACTCTAATTCATGTCGACTTGTCGCCATTCATACTCATGAATGAATTCAAAGTTCATTTGTGAGATACAAAGAATGAGGTGGAGAACCCCAGTCAAACTTGTGTCAACATTCAAGTATATCAAAGTGGGCATCGGAACTCACACTGAATAATTCTTCCGAGAAAGGGAAGTCTAATCTCGCACAGACACTGCTGCGACTAAAACCGGAAGCCTTTACCCGTCACGAATTCAGAAGTTTGAGGTCCAACACACCGCAAGCCAGACTGAAACCACTTAATAGATATACCAGCTATATCACTCCACCTTAGGGAATAAAGCGAATCGCAGAAAACAATCCCTGACATGCACATGCTCCCCGATACCGTCAAAACAAGCACATTATAGACACGGAAGAAACTCGCACAACACAGAGTTAGACACGATGCTCTCCAAAAAAATAATAATAATCACAATAACCTAACAATGCAGTCATCTGCGTCATCAAATTAACACACATTGAGACATTCGTTGACAACACATTACCTCCGATATAAATTTGTACCCAGCCATCCCCTCAACTCCTGCACTCACCCCTTCACCTCTCTCACCTAACACTTGTACATTCTTCCAACACAAGCCATGCAGGAAATTCGAATCTCCATTTCAGGAATAAAAAAGAGTCCGGCCTCACCACCACTTCAAATGATAAAACAGCAACTTCTCCTTCTTCTTCTTCTTCACCTTATGCTTCTCTTCTTCGTCACCGTCGTCGTCGTCGTTGTCGTCGTCGACGAATCTTTGCATCCACGAATCCTCACCATCTCGAAAGCCACCTCCTCCAACAGTGAGCTGTGATCCACAATGTCGAATCATGGCGTCGACGTGCATGAATCATGTCATACAGTCAAGCAATTTCAAACGCTCGCATACATCGGAATGATTTTGCGAGTACGATGTTCGACCGGGCAACTTTCCAAACGGGAAAGGGGAAATCCGGAATTGACATGCAGACCCATGGCCGTACTGTACCCTATTACCGTCCGGACTGACTCGTGGTCCCCGGTTCCGAAGACTGCACACGTTCTGACTGGGAATCTGCCGCTTCTTCTCTGCTTCTTTTTACGGGTTCCCAGTTTCAATGCTCCCCTGGCAATGAACGTAAAAGAAATTGTTAGGAGGTTTGGCTTTGATTTGGGCCCAAATTTCTTGAAAAGGAACTCATTTAAAGTATAGGGCTCAGGGTCACGGGGTATCCTTGATTGTATTGAAGCTTGTTATCATATCAAGAGTAAAAAAGGCGTATTCCATCGTTTTGTATATGGGAACGTGGCCTGTTATATGTAAATGAAAATTTAATATGAAAATAACTAAATTATAAAAGACATGAAGCCGTGATATACAAGTATGTGGCGAGATTTTGTCTCCACTATCATGTTGAGAGTCTAAGGTGTATTATGAGCTTTGTGGGTATCAATATTGAACAGGTTGTTCGTCGATTGTGAGGTAAAGATTTATGAATTGAATAGTGCACTATTCTTCAAGTCATGTGTGCTCAGAATGTAGCAACAATTGTGCATCACAAGGCTACTGAGTACTTGCATAAAAGTATATATGTATGTATAACTTGTGTACGACATTCTTCAACATATATTGAGAAGTGGTAGACACAAATCCACAAATCAAAGCTTGTTTCTTCGATTTTCTTTGAAACCATCAACCTCATGATAATTTTAAATTACATTTTGATATTTAATGTTCAGAAACTATTTCCAACTGAATTTTGGTGATAATTGCATCACTATCATTATTTGTCAATCTTAAGATTAAGTGAACTAGACCATATAGTGAAACGAATCAAGTCCCACAATTACCTAAGTCAGAGCTCACAAACAAATACGGTAATAATTACACATACCACCTTGCAACTGCAATGCAGTCATAATGAATGAAATTATCACTAAGGAAAGAAACCAGTGCAGTTTGTAATAGGTTTTTAAACAAGCTTCTGCTGTTGAAGTGCATGTATGCTGTGTCAAGTGGAGAAATAGCATAATGGACTTTATGGAACATAAACCATGTAAAATACGTGATAGTAAAGACTTTGAACCTTCGACAAATTAGTGTATCAAAGTATACATGTCTATATATGTATACATATATATATTTGTATATATCTTCACCTCACATATTTCTTTAAGAACTAAGACAGATAACCAGTAAATCCAAAAGAAAGTGAAAGTAAAATTCAGTCCATCGTTGTAAATGAATATTGAACAGCTTGTTTGTCGATCACTATTATACAGTCCATCGATGTAAATGAAGGAGACATTAATCAATTTAACGCATTTCCACCTGTTAAATAATAGTTCTGCAGGCTATGATTTCCGGGAGATATTATGTGTATCGTACTTTAACAAACCGAATTCTATAATAAATTGTGCAGTAAGTTAGAGAAAAACAATTTGTGTAGAAAAAAAATTAACCAGAGACGAATCTCTCCAGAAACGAAACTTGTTACTAGCTGACCCAAGTGTTAGTGACATTCACTTGAACGCATCACACTCAATCGCACATCTACGGAACTGGAAATAGACTTACATCTACTGTTTTCTTTCGTTACTAAAACTCATTTCTTCCGGATTTCTCCACACATTTAAAATGTGTTGATCACAATTCAACCCCTAATGCTAAATGAATGAAGAGCCCATTACATTTCAAATTCAAGAGAAATACCGATTTGTGATACTTTTCGTGAAGTCACACGAAATCACTGTCGACATTATTTATTAAAATCAGTTTTACTATGTGCTGAAAGAGGAATAATTCGCTGGGGTAATAGATTTCATGACAACCACTAATTTGCAGAGACTACTTCAGAGCAACAGCGGGGGGCTGGTTGATTCGACTTGGCCCCGATACGCTGTCGGGAAGCCGTATCACCGATGAGGCGTATCCCTATCACCCAGCATCGTTTCCATACGTATAGGCACCGCTTTTGACACAAACGAGACCTCATTAGAACTGAACCATGTGACCAAGTCCTTGGCTATGTTATTCAATGAAAGTGGAGAAGTCGTTAGTACGTGACCGCGGGACGGACCAAATTTTCCCTCACACCAATCAAACCTAAATATCGATTACAGATTTCCAATAAAATAAAATAAACCAAGTTCCTTCTCAAAATCCTGACTGCTGTCATCTATGGCAATGTGTGCAAGGGAATGGTTATTTAAACATAGAATCCAGAAGTACTCACCATTAGAGCGAACGACACAGCTACTAACTCAAAAGAAAGTCAGCATCTCAATGACAAATTTCTAATCGCTCAACCACATATCCCCCACGTAAAGATGTATTGTGCTACCGCGACTTGACGAGATGAGTTCGAGTTATTCTGAATACTCACGCATCTAATTGCCTTCGTGAACGATACAACATGTTCACTACGACCGGACTGATGGATAAGGATACAAAAGATTGTCATTACACGATAAACCTTAAGAAGTCCATTAGAGTGTCGTCATATGACATCATTGCCGCCAATACCGTAAAATGAAAAAATTCTACACATTGACTCCAAGTCTGAAGCTCGCTTCCCACCTTCGCTCTTGCAGTTCTGTGAAAACGATGCACTGATACAAGCCGTTTCAAGGCTTGGCACCTGGGGCACCAGGTCGGGCGCCAGGAGCTCCTGGGGCACGTGGCGGTCCATCCTCCTGCATGGAATGCTGTGCTCTTTTAGAAACGGCATGAAGAGATCGACACGCAGCACCACAGAGACAAAACTAATTAAGCCGGGTGGTATCTACAATCCCAAGAACATAGAATAATTAACCGGATCTAATTCTGCCTTCTTCACAAAGACCGAGAAAGCAAAACCATTTTCAAACAAAACAAGAATTTGATATGACAACACTGACCTTGCGCCTGAACCTCTGGGGTGGCTCACGAACCCTACGTGCCTCACGGGAACGTACACGGACTACGTGGGAGTGAATGGCGCAGGAAATGCAATACTGCATCTTGGCGTACAACTTCGGGAGGACATACCCTGAAACGTTGCGTCATATGCATCTGAAAAATTAGGTTATGTAAAACCCTAAACCTTAAATGTTATGATCAGTCCAACTAATTCCTGAGGATCAGACCGATTGAATCAGAAAGATTGAAAAACCAGAGCTCACCGTCGTATACACAGGCCTCTTGCACATCACGAACAGCAGCCTGCTCGACAATGTTGCGAACCAAAAACCGCTTCACTGCCTTGTCCTGAATTATTTTTTTTCAGAATGATGCGTTAGCAATTCTTGACCCTAACACGACAACCTCTGACATCCACGAATCTCATAAACCATCGAGTTATAAAAAATAGGGATCCCAAAAAAACAACTACAAGGCCGATTAAAGATCGGCACCCAATACAACTAGAAAAAGTTACCTTGGGCACACAGCGCCCGCAGTTGGAGCACCGAATAGGGTTCACATGGCCACGACCATGCTTGTTTCGACCACCACTACGCCTTTTGACAGTCTGCAACCCACCAACGAATCCTCATTGAACACATCAATGCCGCGAAATAAAAGCATTGCCGAAACAACTCAAATTTCACAATTCCCCAACCCCCGGAAAAGAAAAAACCCTGAAACACATGTTCATCATCTAAACCTAATGAAATGTCGAGCTCCTCGAGCCAAGTGAAAATCATTGTGCAATGTAGGACTTGGGACAAACCATGTTGAAATGCTTCAGGGACGCCCTCAACAAACAAACGAAAGGGATGCGCGGAGGGTCGCCGGTGGCAGGGGGAGATCGCGAAAGGGAATCAACTCGAGCTCTGGAAGATGTTATGTTAGCTGCAGCCCAGTCTTCTCCCACTGCCCAGCCACCGTGGATTTGCCTATCGGAGCAGCTCAGCGCCGTCGGATACAGGAGGGCCTCGTATTCCCAAGCCTGTGTTCTGTTTCTTAGGGTTTCGGGTGCGGTGATGGGGCCTGCACGGAGCCTATTTCCAGGGAATTGGGGTGTTGTCGATGAGAACTCTTCGCCGTAGGTGAAAATACATATTAAACGAAAAAGTAAAAGCAAAGTTTCATAAGTGTGTGTGTGTGTGCGTGCAAATCTGCATTCAAGTAGAAATCATCTTATAACTCCTTATTTATAGAAAAAACATTAGAAAAAATAATTTCTTAAAATTCTCATGCATATGTATGTATGTATGTATATATATATATATATATATATATATGTATAGATATAGTTGAACTTGTGTTGTTGTCATGGATTTTTGGCACAAGTTTCCAAAAAGTTTAGTTTGTTGAAATCAAGATCTTAGCTTCTTAAGCATTTCACCTTGCACATTAGTAGGAAATTTTGCATTTAGGTTCTTAAAAACTAATTTTATATTAATAAAACAACAAAGTCCAAAAACAAAAAAAATGATAGATTGAAGAAATATTATAGAAGATAATTTACCTTTTAAAAATCAAATCATAGACTTAATGTACAATCAATTATACATATTAAATAATTCAATCTGTTTTTTTTATATATATATTATCAATAAATAACTTGTTATTATTAATGATTAAAAAAATATTATTTAATAAAATTATATCTAACTTTTGATATAATGTAATATTGGGTGTTATTGTTGTTGTAAATAAAGACGATAAGTGAAAATAGACAAATGTCAAGGACATGAACCTCAAAGAACTAAAAGGTCAATATACTCAAAAGACTAGAAAATCACTCAAAGATGATTTTGAACTAAAATGACTATTGACAAAGACAAGCAGACTAAAAGATCTTGAAATAAGACTAAGAACTAGAAAGACGTTAATAAGAGTAAAGAAGGCTTAATTCTTACCTCCATATATACTTTCTAACTAAAAGCTATGTGGCAATGTTCTATAGGACTTCTAACTATGTTGATTTTGCTAGACACATGTCTTAATTTATAAGATAAGTTATCTATATGTATGCTAGATAATTAGCTTATTCTACAAGCTACTGATATGGATGGTACATGGTTAATTTGTTGATTAAGTTTCTAACCTATTAATCAACTACAAATATGTGTACAATCAAAATTGTATCTAGAAAGCTTTAAGAAAGTTTTTTTAGAAGATATTTGGAAATTAATCTATATTTACTTATTTCTATCTAATCATATAAGTAACTATTGAAATAAATATGCATGTCCATAATAACAAATTGTATTTAAAATAATTAGATGAATGAAAAATCGAGTCCTAGTATACCAAATGTAAGCTTCTCAAATGGATAAAATATAAATAAATCAATTAAATAATAAAATATTAATTATTTTATATTATAATAAGTAAATTTATAATAGAAATTTTATAATAATTTAAAATATGACTTAAATTAATCTACAAAAAATATAATGAATAGAAAAAAATTGAATAAATTATCATATATGTATAAAAATATGTATTGGTTTTGATTTTATTTATTATATTATATCCTTTGATATTATTATAGATTATATTTAAAAATATTTATTTGATTTTTTCTTTAAAAATCACCAGTTGTAATTAAAAAAAATTATCTTCAAATTAAAATTTTTAAAAAAATTATATTAATTTATTTCATAAAATTTATTCAAATAACATATTTTTTATATAACACAAATATGAAGAATTTTTTAAAAATTATAACATATTATAATTATTAAGCTAATCTTATATTAGAAATATAATAATAAAAAATGACTTAAATTCAACATTATTTTGAAAGACATTCACACAATGATTCAAAAAGAATAAAAAAAAACAAACCAACAATAGAGAAGTAATATTAAATGTTATAGAAGATCAATAGAACTATATACATATCTAAAACTCAAGATTACAAAGAAAAAATTCAATATAATATTCATCATTAAAATAATAATTGTATACACCACATATTAGAAGCAAACACACAATCAAGGAATTCAAGTATTTATATTTGAAAAAATCCAATAAAAAGCCTTTGCAAATAAAGTTCTTTAATAAGCTTTTGAAATAAGAGAAAAATTGAAATCCGATGCATCTTCAAGTACAACTGAAACCATAAAAAGGCATCATAAATCTAATCGAAATCAACTCACTCACAACAAAATTATGAATGTTGTCTTGCTTTTGTCATACTTAATCTCCTTCCTACCACTTCGATGTTATTATCAACTGTTAAAGGCTATATACAAGACAAGGATTGAAGATCAAGAAATAGAGTAAACTCAATATTAAAACAATAACATAATACAAAGTAAGAAGGTCATAACTAGATCACAAGAAGTGAGTTGTCAAGACTGAGGACCTCCTCAATCTCGACTCCTATATATACTAGGTCCTAAGAAGCATCTTACGAAGTTTTCATGAGGCTTGGAAACAAAGCACGCGTAAGTATCATGGACAAGAACTCGATGAAAAAACAATTCAAACAAGTGAGCATTCACTCAAAGAGAGGTAACAAAATATATAAGTATATATATTGAAAGAGAAACTGGAATGGCTATTGCCAAAAGACAAGAAAACTAGAGACCCTTGAAACTAGACTAGAAGGAAGAAAGGAATTGACAAGAGTGAAGAAGCCTTCACTCTTGTCTCTATATATACTATCTAACTAGGGGCTACGTGGCGATGTTCTATAGGACCTCCAATATGTGTTGATTTTGTAGGACACATGCCTTGACTTACAAGGCAAGTTTTTCTACGTGTGGGCCACATACTTAGCTTGATCTTCAAGCTAACAACATGTGTGGCACATGGCCAACTTGTTGACCACGTTTCTAATCCAAAAAGTCAATTAAAGACACCTATGAAGTCAAAGCAGCGTCTAGGAAGTTTCTAGGAAGCTTCTATATTAAATATTATAGAATTAACTTACTTTTATCGACTTTTACTTACTTCTACCTATTTCTATATGTAATTATTAGCTTACATGATTATGACCGTGACATTACCCCCCCTTCTAGAGACGAGTTCCACGAGGAGCGGTCATCATATGTTGATGAAATCTATGATGCGACGAATTATATTCGCCACATACTCTGATCTCTGTTCTCTTCGAAGATGATTGATAGGGCCTCTCAACCATTGGTAGTGTCCCATACCAGGGCGGGAAGACCACCCAGTTATTTGATCATTGTTGAGGCCTTCGTAACTTCCTTCAAATAGAATATTTGGAACACCATCAGGAGTTGTTCCTACCTCTAGCAAAATCACCAAACATCGGGAGTCCCTTCCCAAATCGTGATACCAAACGCGTTGTATCTCACCATCTATTCGAGGAAGAACATGTCGTTCTTGAAGATGTTCATCTCGATTGTGTCGTCTTGAAGGTTGTGAAAATTGTAATGTCTCGTCCGACAGGTCAGCAAACGAAGGTTCTTGGGTTGAATCTGCTGGTTGTTGGCTCTCCATCTAATTAGCGTCACAAATGCAAAGAAGTTACAAACAAGGATATGAAATTAAATGTTATCTTGCCTCAATCTTGTCTCTTTTATAAGAGAGATTTTCATCTTGGTTTTGATGGATGTCGTTGATGAAAAACTTTGACTTTAGCTGATGCATTTCTTAGATTCTTGGATGGCTCCTATGTGCGTTCACTAATATCATATCCGTGCCAATGAACAAGATATTCCAGCTTATTTCGGTGCTGCCTTGAGTCTAATATCTCTTCCACCTCAAATTCTTCATTATTATCTACTTCTGTAGGAGGCTGTGGCATTTGTCTTCTTCCTTGTATATCCTTTGTCTTATATGGTTCAAGTAGAGACATGTGGAATACAGGATGGATCTTCATTGACTCCGGTAGATGTAACCGATATGCAACTGGGTTGATCTGTTCAGAAACAGAAAAGGGGCCAAGCCTACGATAGTCCAACTTGTCACAAGGTCGAGTAGTCTTGATATTGCGACGAAGTAGCCATACCTTATTACCCACGTTGAGTTGTAGTTGCTCCTTACGATATAGATCTGCGTTTATCTTTTGTCATTCTTGAGCTTCCTTCAATTGCGTCTTCATTATTGCATGTAACTCTGACAACCGATTTGCCATATCTTCTGCTGCAGGATTATCAACTTTTGAAAAATCAAAAGTATCAAGTCGTGGATGATAGCCATAATTGGCAAAGAAAGGTGTTTGTTGCGTGGAAGAATGTATCGTATTATTATAAGCAAACTCTACCAATGGCAGAAGGGTTGTCCAATCATCTTGTTGATAGTTGAAAGTACACCTTAAATATTGCTCGAAGACTTGGTTTACGCGCTCTGTTTGTCCATCAGTTTGAGGATGGAAAGCCGAAGATAGCTTTATGTCCACTTTTAAAATCTTGAAAAGGGTCCTCCAGAATCTTGACACAAATTGAGTTCTCCTATCTGATATGATATCTTTAGGTAATCCATGATAGCGATAGATATTATCAATGAAAAGCTTAGCTGTTTCTTCACCTGTGATAGATTTTGTACATGGCACAAAATGTGCCATCTTGGTGAAACGATCTATTATCACAAATATAGAATCATAAGATCTTAAGCTTGAAAGATCTGTGATGAAATCCATAGAAACAGAAGACCATGGTTGTTCTGGTATAGGTAATGGCTGAAGAAGTCCGTAAGGTCGATAACGAGGAATTTTTGATCTTGAACAAATATCACATGATTGTACAAAGTCTTTGACTGACTTCCACATTTGTGGCCACCAAAAATCTCTTGATATGAGTTCTAAAGTCTTATTATATCCAAAGTGCCCTGCTGCTGGAAAGTCATGACGTGCTTGAAGAACACATAAACATGCTTCTCCTTCTGGAACATATAGGCGTCCTTCAAAATATAATAGATTATTCTTGAACTCGAACTTAGAAGGATCATGAGACTTGGAAGAATCATTCTCGATATCATGAACAAGAGGGTCTGAGGACATACTGAACTGGATTTGCTTGAGAAAAGTTGAATCAACAGTCAATGTTGATTTCATTGCTCGGAGATGAAATTGCTCCGGTTTCAAGACGACCGTTCTTTGTTGCTCAAAAGCTGCATCTCCTTCTTTTGGTGCAAAATAAGAACGTCTAGATAGGGCATCGGACAAACCTTGTTGTTTTTCTGACCGATAAGTGATAATGA